GAAAAAGAGCAAGTAGATTACCTCAGTGTTTTTCAAAAAATGCATGTATATTATAGCACAACCCTATAAGAGAAAATTTTGAAAATCATTAACACAGTATCAATTCTTTCCTCTCTGATGTGAAATTACGTAAAGCAATTATATCCATGATAACTTTTAGAATATCAGAGTGGAATCTAAAGGAACGGGCAGATAATGAATGATGATGTGCTCGAACTTATGCAGTCAATAGTTTTGTGCGGTTCCTTCTCGAGACACAAATAACGTGCCTTTGGAAACAAATGTTCACATATCCATAGACTTAAATGATATAACATTTGGAAAAAATATAAGCCAACATTTTTTTCAAACTAAATCTTGGCATAATATCTTGAGCCCATGGACCAATAAAATTAATTTAACGTCACGTAAAGACAAAAAGAATTGTAGTTAGTAACTATTTATAAAGAAGAAGATGGCACTTTACAGTTAATTTATGTTAATTTATGTTAATTTATGTTAATTTATGTTAAATATCATTTTTAGTCAGAGCTTTACATTGGCCTGGACACAGGTTGAAAAGTGGGGGGGGGGAAGGGGCAAGGGAAAATTCAATGCCAATAACAAAAGATTTTGGAAATAGCTCTATCACCTTGCAAAGAAGGGGTGCCATGCCCCCCCGTTGGAGACCCAGCTTTACAAGTTTTGAAAAGCTGTCACACCGATGTAATGGTTATGTTTTTGCAAATACAGTTAAACTTTAGTTTGCTACACGAAATAGAATTTTTCTCCGAATAGTGACTAGCGTGCTTTTGTGGGGTAGTTAAAGCCCCCAGCTTATCTATGTTGCCATCTTGAAAAAACAGGATAGTTTAAATTGAAGATTTACCTGTGTTCCATACATTGCAAGGAAAAAGAAACTAAAGGAGAGCTTATCAGGATTGTTGCGAGCCATAATGCCTGAGTACCAAGCAAGGAATGCAACTATCATTAGAAGGCAACTTCTTTTGTAATATTCACTGAAAACAAAACATCATGCAATCACTTTCAAGTATATAATGCAAAGGCAAAGCTTACAGTTTATTGAGGTTTTCAAAAAGAAATAGCTTTCATAGGAATATTTCGATACTTTCCAAGACGGTTTCCCATAGCAAAGAGCGAAACCACATAGCAAACATTCGTTTTATAGTATTGGGGTTCCAAATTTTGTTTCAAGTACAGCCATAGTCTATAGTACAGTAAAGTCGCAATAATGCGAACCTTTGGTGAGTTGAAACCTTGATGACACGAACTGTTTCGAATTCTTCTTAAACCATTTCCTTTACTTTCAAATCCCCAACTCGACCCCTCGATGACTCGAACTGTTTCGAATCCCCTTTAAACCTTTTTCATTACTTTAAAAACCTCGATAACTCGAGTCCTCGATTACTCCAGCCCTCGATTACTCCAGCCCTTGATAACTCGAACCTTGGATCCCTTTACTTTCGAAACCCCGATAAGTCGAAGCATGGATAACTCGAACTGTTTGGAATCCTCCTTGAACCTTTCCCCTTACTTTCGAAACCCCGATAAGTCGAAGCATGGATAACTCGAACTGTTTGGAATCCTCCTTGAACCTTTCCTTTACTTTCGAAACCCCGATAAGTCGAAGCATGGATAACTCGAACTGTTTGAAATCCTCCTTGAACCTTTCCCTTTACTTTCGAAACCCCGATAAGTCGAAGCATGGATAACTCGAACTGTTTGGAATCCTCCTTGAACCTTTCCCCTTACTTTCGAAACCCCGATAAGTCGAAGCATGGATAACTCGAACTGTTTGGAATCCTCCTTGAACCTTTCCTTTACTTTCGAAACCCCGATAAGTCGAAGCATGGATAACTCGAACTGTTTGAAATCCTCCTTGAACCTTTCCCTTTACTTTCGAAACCCCGATAAGTCGAAGCATGGATAACTCGAACTGTTTGAAATCCTCCTTGAACCTTTCCCTTTACTTTCGAAACCCCGATAAGTCGAAGCATGGATAACTCGAACTGTTTGGAATCCTCCTTGAACCTTTCCCTTTACTTTCGAAACCCCGATAAGTCGAAGCATGGATAACTCGAACTGTTTGGAATCCTCCTTGAACCTTTCCCTTTACTTTCGAAACCCCGATAAGTCGAAGCATGGATAACTCGAACTGTTTGGAATCCTCCTTGAACCTTTCCCTTTACTTTCGAAACCCCGATAAGTCGAAGCATGGATAACTCGAACTGTTTGGAATCCTCCTTGCACCTTTCCATTTACTTTCGAAACCCCGATAGGTCGATCCATGGATAACTCGAACTGTATCGATTCCCCTTCGGCCTTTCCCATTGATTTCGAAACGTCGATAACTCGAACCCTGGACAATTCGGTCTTTTCAGTTGCTTTCGAAACCTCGATAACTCAAAAATTCGTTGCTTCAAACAATTTGCATCATTCCTTGGGAGCTTCGAGTTGTCAGGATTATAGTGCATGTTGCTACAAGCCCGTATATGTTTAAGAAAGGATTCTTTTGATCGGGCAAGTCTGGGTCGGATAGCAACACTCACTAAGAATCACTCATTTCATAGGCAGCGTGATAAAGGGCGTTTATTCTATAAAAATGTTCTACACCACCAAATGTTTCCACTGTAGCTATGATATTCAACTTGTACTCATAAAATATAGCCTGGATGCAAACTTTACTTTCCGTTGCGAAGGAGAGTAAAGTCTGCACGCAGGCTAATAAAATAAAACATTTTCAAAAAATATAAATGAGACTTCGAGCAGAACGAAAAAAGCCGGGAATCACCACCTAGCACGAACCGAAGAAATTGATTAAGGAGGTTTGTAGCGTGTTGAGCTTTCTATAGATAGCAATAATGCACTGAGCTAGACAGAGTTCACAGTTGCTCAACTGGTACGCCTACAACTTTTATCATGTTTTTCAGAGATCTTCTAATTCTAATCGATTTTGCATAATAATCTTCAGTCCGCATACTATTTTGGCTTGAATCATGCTTGAAAAATAAAGAATTTAATAGAATTTCGTGTTATTTTTTGCGCTTAAATTGCAGCTTGCTTACAGAAAGTAATAGAATAATGGAGGACCTGACTTGCTAAAGCTTGGCCATGAGAAATGCAATGATCAGTAAAAATACTCACATTGCACGCCTGTACGGGTAATCATATTTGCCTCCAATATAACTTCGAAGCTCGTAAAATATAAGAGCATAGGACAGAGTGATGGCCTGGTAAATAAAAATATATTTTAGACTAGCAAGACAGTCTGCAGTTGGTGAAACTAGATGCCATAAAGAAACAGAGTGTTTCTAGTTAAAAGTGATGCAATAAGTTCTGTTGTGGTCCATTTTTAAGGTGGCTCCTTTTTAAGATGGCCACCAACAGAGAAAAGGTTACTTTTGTAAACAACATGGCTTTATTGTTATACTATACTGTATATCCTTAAATTACACGATTTAAGAACGACAACATGGCGGGCAAACGGCAATGACAATCCCAATGGCCATAGATAAAAACATATACATATAAGCAACAAAGTAAACAACTACAAATTGGTATACAAACGATTAAAAACTGATAAATACAGGAAAAAAGGAATTGGGTTTGGTCTAGACCTACTCAATAAACCTACTGTTGCGAACTTCATAAACCAGCACTCCGCTGGTTATACTCTTAGGCAACGGCAAAGAAGAAGTCAAGTTTTATCTGAAACATTGTTCTTGCATTTAATATACACTCATGTTGTGTCACTTAGAGGTGGAGCAAGAGACGACGAAACATGAGAGAACATGTCTGTAAGTCGTCAAATCTATGTTTAAAATTGCCCTTCCTATATCCAGAGAAACAAACGAGGAAAATATGACAGAACACGCCTAGAGGCACCTGTAACAGAGAAGCTGTGGCACAGTTTCCTTGACTTAGGCCTATCCGCTTAATTCAACTGAGTAGCCGCTTGATTTCTAGGCATTTCGCCAGCTTACAATATAGCAAGGCTTGCATATATTTATGTTGAGATAATTGTAAACATAGCGTAATTATAGGCCTAATTCAATGCCAACTAAGACAATAATGATACTTACCAGCACAGAAAACAACGGGCCAATGACAAAATACAGCAGTCCAGACCCACTTACTTTCATCCAAGAGCTATGACAGAAAATAGAACACACTCAACAGGTCTTCAACATAAAAGTAAGTTAGGCATGGCTACTACATTACGTCATAGCTGGATTACATTGAAACAGAAAATGAAAGCTGGTTATCATAGTCAAAGAGAAAATAAAAGACCAGTGCTATTTTCATTAGGGCAATAAAAGGGACTGAATCACTGCATGTATATTCCTTCCGCTGAAACTTGTCCTTATTTTGCCAAATGGAAACAGGCTAAGAGTTGATGATGATGATTCTATTATAATTCTAATATATATCATTGATAATGTGCCCTTTTTGAGTTGCTGCCATCGCTGTCTCAAAATGGTTCCGGCGCCCCTGCAGGTATTTGCAAATTAAGCCTTGTCCTTTCTTGATATTTGGACAACTTTTTCATTAACTTCTCAAAAGCAACACAATGAGATGTATCAGGTAACACTTCACATTTTATGCTTCTCGTAAATTCTGCCCTTCTGTATGATTCAAATTCATCTGAAAGAGGATCTAATCTTTCTTGAATTACATTTATTTAAAATTCTAAAGAAAAAGTCAATGAGGTAAACAGAGATAAAACCAATGCGGTAAGCGAAAACAAATCCAAAGAGTTTCCGATTTCGTATCCCTATGTATGCTATGGAAAAACATTTACAAATTCTCACAAATCAGAATAACACATTTCATCTTTGTGATTTCATCAATAAATTCAAATGTAGAGGAACATAAAGGAGTGTCAAGTTAAAGAAGAATAATTAGGGGGCTCAATAGGGATAACGAGGGGGGGTAGAGGGCTGCTGGTTAGTTTCATGGAGGTGATAAATTGACTCAAAAACTCATGATTTTCTGATTCATAGCATTAGTTGCAGATTTTTTACCACTTTTGTTTTGATAATACAAGGTGATTAAAAGGGCCAGCTCTTGTTTCCTCACGAAAGAATCATTTTGTTGTTATAATTGGCAAGGCAATGATTAAAACATATGGAAACGAAATTCGCACTCACAATTCAGCAAGCACAGTAAGGTCGTAAGGGTAGCCCGCACATGCCCCAGACAATGCTGCTGGTATACCTAGGAAAAAACCAACATTAACATTAGTTCGTTTACAAATTCGATCAAATAATAAATAGCTTATATCATACACAGGGTGCTATTTATATAGAGATTTCATGTATAACTGTGAAGCTTCTGAAGAAAATCTTCCGTGATATAGTAGCTTAGAATTTAAGATACTGAAATTCTCCAGAATGCAATGAGAATGGTGTTTTTGTAGACAAGCAAAAGATGAAAGTTAAGATGTAATCATTACAACAGAACTTCGTTTCATTTCTATGTTTAAAAGCTTTTTCACTCTTGATTTTATCTTGATTATAAGATTATGAAATGTATTATTATGATGATTTCGAGGTTATATTATCTCGCGCCATTCTTATGGAAACAAGAGAAACCTTTACTTGATAGGCCATTTGCAATAACAAAAGAGATCAAGTGACTGGCATCACTTCCACGTAAGGGATTTCCCAAGTAATGATGTAATAAACAATATATTTGTAGAATTTTCAATTTGGATCCCATAACGTGTAAGAACATCATTAACGCTGAATGTAAGAACCAGTGGAATGATAGAATTGGTTGAGATATGGCCACATATCCAAAGGTTTTTTCCCAAACAAACCCTGTTATTTGGCCTCTGTTCATAATTTTATGAACAAAGCCAAAATAACAGTATTCCGTTGACAAAATTTAAATCTTCTATTGGCCATAGCTCACCCGATATGTGACATATTTTATTGGCTGTTCATGGTTAGAGTAGTTTATGGTGTTAACAACGCAAAATTAAGGTCATGTTCCACGGTAGATTTGTGGGAAATTTATCTGTAGGGCTGTAGTTAAAAAAATTTGAAATTTATTGTAGCAGATTTTACACGTTATTTTTTTAATGGACGGTGGTAATAATGCCCAATTTTCGGCTTTGGCCTAAGTTTTTTTTACACTTTCTGGGGGTGTGATTGGCTCAGCGGCGAGAGAGGTCACGTGACTTAGCGCAAGCTCTCAGCCAATCAAGATTTGAGCCCTATGGTATGGTGTTAGCAGTATAAGTTATCATTTCAAAATTCAGAAATTCTAAGAATAGCTTTTGGTGACGATAACCTTAAGAACCCTTTAAGGACGGATTTTAAGTGTCACAAGTGATGTCGCATGGAACATGTGATCAATTGTCGCTGTGCAGAAATTTGCCAATAGTATAGCAACAATTTACTGGAGAAGCAATTGGCTTGTTTTCTTCCTTGTTATGCAAATCCTTGCTTGCTTAAACACTCTATATCTGGTGTGCTGTACATACTGCTATCTACATTAAGCATGACTAGATTTCTAAGCTTTCCCAAGACTATACTGCCATGAAACGCAGTAAGACGCGAGTTTGTATGTTAAGAAATTACATCATAAAACATACCCCATCCAATCGTGTTGTAAAAGAAAGTTGGGCTGGTGACATCTGCATCATACACTGGGTTGAAAGACTGATAGATATGCACACCTTCCACCAGTATCCAAGAAATCACTGCCGTCTGAAAATAGTGGATGCATCCGGACATTGTGTCCGTATATTTCTGAAACGAATTGACGTTTTTCGATACTGTAACTGTGACTAAAGTAAAAAAACAACAAATAGCATGCGTTCTTGATGAACAGGGGTGTGACTACGGGGGTGAGAGGAGATTTCCATAGTTGCATGCCCTAAATGTTACCCCCCTCCCGTTAATTAAGCCAATATCTTGATACTTAAACCGTTTAAATTAAAAAGCAGGGCAAAAAGTCTTAGTTTTAGAGCACTCGCAACACTTTTACGAGATTATCGTAATTTCTCTGCGCTGAGAAGCGATGAGAAGTAAATCTGTGATATTTTGTTAAGTATTGTCAATGCATAAAAGCTATATGAAAATATAAATAAGAGAACTCTAAAATGAGAATGTGCTATATCTGGTAGCATTTGTAAATGCAGTTATTGATTGTAGGGATTGATTGACAACTGATTGACTGATTTGAATGATTGGATGCTGGTGATTGAATGATTGCAGATGGTCAGTAATTTATAATTGTAGTATTTGATTCTAGTGTTGTGATTGATTGACTGATTCAATGATTCAATGGCTGATTGGCTTTTAGACTTGAAGAAATGTATGCTTGACTGACTAAATGATTGCTCGTCACAAGTACATACTCGATTATCACTGACAATCACTCCAAGTATGAACGATAAGTACACCATGAAGCAAGCGATGTCGTGGAAAAAGTATATCCGAACCCTCATTAGATGTAGGTATCTGCAAAGAGAGAATGTTGGGTATCAAAAGCATCACAGAAAATTACATTATCGTTAGGTTTAGTTGATCTTGATCTGATTTCTCCGCTGTCTTGATGGCTATCTTTTTTAACACAATAACACGCTTCAATTGACCATTATATCTAAAACCCTTGCTTAATATCTGTCAATATAGGCAAAATCTATCAACATATTCGGATATTTTTTGGTTTATTGAATCTTGAATCTTATATCTCACAATCTATCGTCTACATTTTTGCGAGCCTTTTCGGTTGAATAATCACGGCTCGGTTTGAGTGCAAGCTACGTTTACCATTTTCTCAGAACAATTCACCCTATGAAATATACAACACGGAGTATACTAGTAGCCCCCTCCTCCCTCTTTTTGAAATCGTACACGAAATGATACACTGATGGTGTAACAACCCTATCGGTTTAAATGTAATATGGCACTTTACCCTTTATAGACAGGATAAATAATTGACAAGAGAAGGCCAAGCAGGATGAATGCAGTAACTGCCAAGGAGATCTGTGTGATGAAGGTTCTCGAAAATCCAGATTTAGTAGCCTACAAAAAATGAAAGTTAAGATGTATGAAACATAGGTAGCGAATAGACAGGCCTGAACGCTATAAAGATTGGGTAAAAAAGGGCCTGGAAAACCGACTTGAGGAGCAGCACCTTAATAGTTACAGTTTAAAGTTGACAGTAGTTTAAAACTTATGTTACTTGCATTGCTTTCCAAGCCCAGAAGATATTGGTTAACTTTGGCGTTGGTTAACTTGATAATACTTCATTACTTACGATTTCCTCGTCTATTTCAGATACGACTGCAACAGTTCCTTGATATCTACATCGGCAAACGGTCTTATGTCTGTCAGTGTAGGTTCGGTAGCACCCTTCACGTGTCCATGAGGAATATTCGTTGTTCCTAAATGGAAGTTATAACAAATTTTGAAAAGATTAGTGATTATAGAAAAATAGTCTGTTCAACAACATTATAGTTGAGCAATAAATTATTGATTGCATAGGAATTGATTGACGGGAAAGATTGATGGGGGTTATTGATTGATTGGGGTGACTGATTGATGGGGGTGATTGATTGATGGGTGTGGTCGATTGGTGGTTGTGATTGATTGATTGATTGATTGATTGATTGATTGGTGGGTATGATTGATTGGAGGGTATGATTGATTGGAGGGTATGATTGATTGCTGGGTGTGATTGATTGATTGACTGTAATGAGTGATTGATTGATTATGCTGATTCTGATCATGAGGATGGTTAAGATGATTAACAAAATTTAATATTAAAGTCTACTTACAAGGCGCCAGGATACACAACGCATTCGTGGTTCTTTCTCTTTATATGCTACAAGAGAAGTAGGAAAGTATGGAACTAGGCTATGTTTATTTTGTACTAGATAAATGAAAATAGACTAGATATATTTACCTCATTTGACATTTGGAACAAAATTCTCAAACTTATGAATTGTCTACCATCATCACCATGACCAAGCTAATCATACAGTATAATTACTGCTTGAGTTTAAAAGCATTCAACATACCAAAATGACTTGAGCCATCAGCCAATCAAAAATTGGCCAATCAGTAAGCTTGAAACAACTCACATGCTTGTTGATTGGCTTAAAGTTGATTGACAGGTGGCCCAATGCACTAGGTATCTGTCGATTTCCTTCAATACTTACCACCTTGTGCCACAATGTTACTTCAATCGGTTCACTCATCGATGATGGTTTTGGACTAAACCCTATCTGAGCTATCTGTGAATTCAAAACCCACTTGCCAGTGCGTGTTGGCCAACTGTATAGCTTCTTCTTCACAAGCTCTTCAGCAACTGCAGGCCTAAAGAATTAAAAAAGCATATGACCCCTGACGTATTCGAATCACAAATTAGGGATATTTCCTTTAATTCAACGTTTTTACAGCTGTTTTTTTCCAAAGCTTAAAGAATAATTTTCCATAGGCAAGCAACTTTTACATTCATGTGCTCGCTCTTCTGATTGGCCCTTTACGATACACAATTGGGTGTATATATTTCTTTACTTGGAATTTTAGATAAATGTTGTGACGTTTTGTCCTCTGAAAAGTGTCTGACGAAAAGTTAGAGTATTTTAAAAACGTTTGCTTTCGACAAAGCGATTTTCAAAATATTTTCTTATAGAGCTATTGGTGAGTTTTGCCCGTAATTCTCGACAAAGTTTTGCCCTTCTAAAACAAGATGAGGACGAGTATCTGAACTTGTTTGAACCAATTTTAATCCAGCATGGGCCACTCTCTGCAACTACAATTTTTACTGTTATCCATATTAATTTCTGTTATTAATATTGAACTATAACAAAAAATTCCAGTATTTTGAAAAGCCATTTAAAATTCTTATGGCATACTGAATTTTAATTAATGTTCTTACCGAATTATTGAATAAGCATTACAAGAGCAAGTTCAAAACTTTTAGATACCTGTCCTGGTCCTTACACTAACACTAAACGTATCCCCTTTAACATTCAACTACTACTTGCTAAAAACATTGGCACAGAAACAATATTTTGCGACTTCTTCTACATGGAATTTAAAATTTGCCCTTAGGAGCCAAAAAATAATACAGGAATACAGGAATTAACTAAATTTTTCAAAAAGAACGCTTTCTTTGTAGATTACTAATATCCTTAAATAAAACACTTAAATCCCTGTTTGTGTTGAATTGAGTAGCTCATTTTTTCATGTTATTCAGCTTTTAATCCTTCGTTCTTAATGACCGCAGGGTGGACATGTTATTCGCTCCATCTGGCATCACCTCTGTAGTGTAGCAGCAAATGCAATTCGCAACATATTTTCTTTATTTTTAGAAGCATAAAAAACAACAGATTGCGTGGGTAAAGAGGAAAGAGTTTCTGGTGTAAACTAGATTTCTGCAATCATTTGGTCCGACCACCCTCAATCCCTCTAAAGTTCTTTGGTTTTAGCCTTAATCTACCTACCCTGGTTTTTATTCACCTGAACCAAAGAAGCTAAAAATTTCTTCATCGCATGCAGCGAAAAGTTGGTAAAATAACCCTCCATACATAAGGTTAGGACTTTGAAGTAAATAATTCAGGAATGTCCTATATATTTTCAACCAAAACATCGAAAACGGTTGCTCGACCCTCTCTACGATTTGCAGTAACGAAAAAAACCTTGCATAACATATCTAGACACATGTCTTTGCAATATTCTTAAAATATCACTGGAATGTAAAATCGGACAGTATTTTGTACTGAATAACTGAATAAATTAATATTTTTAAAAAGACTTCATTTCATTACTTGTGAATTGATTGACGGCGAAAATCTTTAAGTGATAACACAGCTTTTCATGAATATGGAGACTTTCCTATCTAAATACTTGACTAATCGCGAGAAATGTCTTAAAAGTAGATCGAATATTTTAAAGACATTTGAAGGAGTCTTTCACCGCAAACAGGTGTGGCTTTTGATATGCCGAAAGCTTTTGTAATGTTTTTACGAGTTTTTAAGATACACCTGGCGTTCTATTAGGAAAGACATAAATGATTTGACACAGTTACTGGGACTTTGATCTGTGCTACTATTATGACCAACACTTTTCAAAGCTGCTTTATTCTAAATATAAAATTTCTAAATTCAGCAAGCCATATGTTATCTATAGATTTAATCAATTCTGGTTTTTCTTCTTAAAATTTTTAAGTCACGGGATGTTATAGAAATAAAAATCCCCGCTGTTAACTTGATAGGGCTGAAAAATAATCCTTCAATAGAAGTGACAATTCGTACTAATGAATTTCATGGCAACCCATATTGTAGTCCTCAAGGCAAGATAAATCTGAATTCAGAATTAGAAATATTTATAATATATATGCCTTTGGTGATACAACATTTTAAGACAGCACGGAAAAGCGGACACGTTAAACATAGCATAAAACATAGCAAGTACTTTTGTCCTACGCTCCTCGGAGTTTAAACTTCTGATAATAACAAAAAGTTAGCATAAAAGTTATATCCAGATGTGGAACGAAAGTTATGTGAAAGGAAAAATGGCCAATGAACCAAGCATATGCACTTTATTCCTCTTACGTTACCTTAGATCTGCAGCAGGATATAACTTGTAAAATAAATATAAATATAAGAAAAGTAAGAAGAAAATATGAAAAACAAAGATGGAAGAGTTCATATCTAACCTATGTGCCGCGATACTGATTGGCCTATTTCAACCCACGACTGTATATACATGACGTAAAATGTTTGTTTTTTCAAAAGCATTTATAAAAATATTGTTTAAATATAATTTTTATGATAGGAAACAATTTTTTCTTACTTTTCGTCCTTAAACTGTATTGGCTGGGTAGTCGAAATTAGATTTCTCAGTAGAAGAATGTAATACGCTGTGACACCTACGAGAAAAAATCTCGTGCATTAAGAAAATATCAAAATATTTTTCTACTGAGCTACTGAAACATGTTCTTTGAATTATTCGTCAAAATTCTGAAAATGCAATTCATTCAAGACTTTACCCTTCACCTGCCAACCTCATTGCGAGTTTTCTTCCAAGAACTCAAAAAGTTTTATCCATGCTTCAGACTGGACTTTATTCATATAAAGAGCTTTTTATAAATACAATTCGACAGGGTTAGACTCAAAGGGGGATGGGAGAGGGGGGTTGCTCACTAAACTTTCTACCAAGGGGGTGTAACAGCCCCCATGCCCCACCATAGCGACCTCCTTAGACGTATAAAAGTTGTTTATAGAAAGTACCATTATAGTAATAATTTTGACTATCAAAAAAATACATGAGATATCAATAATGTTATTGAATCCTGACAGTTACTTAGCGAAACTTACCAGGGTTCAGGGTTATCATCGAAAATCTGAACTTGTCTTTCTCTCCACGATAAGCAGATGCTGGACTTTTGCTGAAATCCGGAATAACCGAGAAGTGACGTAGATCGGTTCTTTGTCTATTCAAAAAGCCAACTTCGACAACTGAAAAAAGAAACGATGTGTAAAATGGTTTCTCAGAGAGTATCTACATTATGAATTTTAGGATTGTGTTTTCAAGGGGATAATTACATCATCAGTGCTAGCGCTGTTATCACTTGGGGAGGAAGATTGTAGGGATTCCAAGGCCGCATTGGTATACATATATTCCCTGTGACGCACTGAATAGATTCACAAACAAGTGCGTCTCTTTCAACGCCATGATAAAGTACGTTTTCAAGCTTAGGCCCGTATAGATTTTCTCCAAAGAAATCAACAATGCGTCGTGTTAATGTATCCATCGAATTTTATATAATAGATCCTCAACTAAAACCCAAATTGCTGCAGCAAGCTAATCTACCCTTATATACTGTTTAACAAGAAATTTCTAGAATATGCTGGTACAACATCACGTGTTTAGGAATAATATGTAATGAGAAAGTTACAGCATGTTACGTAAGGCTTACTCTAGAAGTTTCTACAATTATTTTAGTCAACTTTTTCTGATGTGTTCTACTTATAAGCATTACTAAGAAATTACTAGAAAGATCCAGTTCACCACAAGATGTAGTCGCTGTCAGAGGAAAGGCCGGGTCATTGATCAAGAAGATAAGTTTCCCGGATGTTCTAAAAACTAAGCTTTGCATGTTTTTAGATAAACAACATACAAATAAATAAACAACATTAAACAGCGTTTGTTTCCCTTGCCTGGGTGCAGTTTCATTGAGATAAAGCGTACTTGCTGGGGAGACTAACAACAAACGTATTCAATGAATGAGGCAACCCTCCGTACTGGAAGGAAGCCGTTATTACGCATGCGCTTTAACTCCAGGACGGAGGGCTGCCTCACACATTTGAACATATGCGCTCGTTCGTCTCCCCATCAACGTCAAAGAATAAAATGATGAGCGACTTACAAAACAGGTTCGTGGTGAAAGAGACTGAGCCATTTGCCAAAACAGAGGAAGGTTGAGACTTCACGTACGACTCTGCAACCGCTTCGGCGTAGTCCAGAGTCGATTTAGCTATCGTGCTTACTCTATCATCATCCTTCTACGAGATATAAAATCTTTCTTCAGTAATCGAAATTCTATAGTTTCAGGAATCAGTAGTTGTGTACAAACCAGTGGTGGCACCAGGGGAGAGCTACAGCCCCTCCGTCGGAAGCATCAGGCCCCCCTCCCCCCATCGGAGGAAATTTTAGGTTATTGTCGGAGCAAATTTGACAAAATAACGTACGAAAACTGCTTATTTTAGCCATTTTAGCCCCCCTGTCGGAAGCTCCAGCCCCTCTGTCGGAAGATTTCTGGCGCCACCTCTGGTACAAACGAAACATAGAATGACTAGTTTTTTACACAACTTTTGTCGCTAACGATGCAAATTGTAGAAGAATATGTCATTAATGAACAAAAGTTAACATACAATAATTAACGTCATTATGAATGAAGAGAGCAAACGTTTCAATAAAAAAACTTAAGCTTTTCGTCTGACATTTTGTGATTGGATTCTATTAGTAATATTTTTTACAGGCAAGTGGCACTGATTGGGTAACCCGAACAATATTTGTCATGTGCTCGCATCACTGATTGGCTTATTTCGATCCATAACTGAGTATATATATATTTTCTATACCTAAGAACTCTCGACAATTAGATTGACGTTGTATACACCGTAGAGCGCAACACCATAATCCAAGCCACTGGTCCTTCGAATTCAAGAAAACGTCTGTTTTGTCACATACACAAACCTCTGGTCGAGAAGGCCGGGTTCCAAATTTTCTTTGGTCTCGCGACTGAGCGAATGCACTTTAAAGCATGCGCAAATTGAACTTCCTCGTTCGCTGCGAGTGCGCGACCATTCGCTGAGTAGTTCTACTCAGCTGAACTACTGAGCGACTGGTCGCATTCGCCGATTCGCTGGTTTGTTGATTCGATTCGAGTTGCGCGACCAAATCGAATCAAGTAGAGACCGACCTAGAGGTTTTTTGGAACGACAGGAAGTTAAAGTATATTTTAGGGGATTTTACTGAAATAGCATTTTTGTCAAAGGCCTGAAGAAATTTTTATGGAATGATATACCCATTGCCTCTGATTTGTTTGTACGAGGGGCAATTCACTCTTGCAAATAGCGTATGAGATTTTGCCTAAAACAAAAGGATTTTTGGGGATTTTCGGATAAAACAATAGGATTTTCATAAAAGCTGTACGAGATTTTTTAGAGTGATTTGCCCCTCGGGTTTGTACATAATACTCTAGCAAAAAAGATGTGAATACCTTATCATTGCATTTCATATACTCTTCAAATTTACTGAAAATGTTGCCAGCGCATGCAATAGTGGTGCATTCTCTATCTACCAGATTATCGGCCCAAATTTTCTTTCCGAAACATTGATCAACAGTAGCTAGACGAAAGAGTGAAAATTTTTATCAGTTTATATGAAGTATGTCAAATCAGACAGATATTTTACGTCCAGAAATGAAAAATATGACTCGCAGCAGTTACACAACAGTACATTGTTAGAGGGGCAAAAGAACGGGTCTGGGAATGTTAGCCTTTTGTTAGGATCCAGGCAGATCTTGGGCCGAAGTTTGATGCGAACAAGTTCCCTATCATTACTAAAAGTTTTCTGTAGATGATTGGTGAAGAACTTATTTGTCCTATGAAAAATTCCCCTATCAGTATTTTAGAAAGGATAGAATTATTGAAGGGGCATCATTGATTGCTATAGAAACAAAAAGGATTCGCTTAAGTTCATTGAACCCCACCCCCCTCCCTCTTAATATAAAGAATTGATTAGGTAACAGCATGCTGTAAATAAATGTGTGTCTTACTTGGTTTCATTGTAGGAAAAGCTGTGACTTGCATCGTTGTAGAAGAGTTTGCCGCTATCCATCTGGCAGCTTCGAGGAAAAATACACATTTTCGTTACAATTGTACCGAAAAGAGATTACAAAAATTTTACAATGGGAGAAAATCTGGCAGGTTATACTTCAAAAAGGTATGTACAATGGTTGTTTGAAGTCTTGGTACACAATACTAGCTAGATTTTGCAAAGTTTTTATAGCAAGCCCATCTTCCCCTTTCAAAAAGTCATATAATTTTAGAGTTTAGGTGTCCTTCAATAATCTCCTGGCTAAACGCTATGAAAATAATAAGCTCAAAAAAGTTATGTTATGAAACATTTCAACATTAGCTTTAGAAGGGGAGATAGTTGGTGCCATGTGTCTACTCCTGCCGGGAAATCTTTATCTCTGAAAAGGGCACTAAAGCCACATGAAGTTATAAGACTGTTCACAGGAACAATGAATAAAAATCAAGTAGATCTTAGGCCTAACAATTTGTGAAACACGTTAAAAGTTGACAATTTATAATGAGCATGAAGCTGAGACTTAATAAGGAAGTTTAAAGATTTCATGTTTAACAACGGTTATCCACTTTGTTAATTCGCCATAAAAAGGCCACTTCTGCTCATCACCGAATCACAGAATCATGATAGCAGTAGAATCACCCAATCAAAATTCCATTCAATAAACCTGATGTTGACCGAATGAAAAGAATAAGCATACACTGAATACACTGAATCGCTCAATGAGTTTGTAACCGAAAGCTGTACATTAATCAATCACAAGTTTAAATAGAATTGGGTACTGCATGTAAAATGCTTTCTGATACATTTAACAGATATGAGACAATAACTTACTCTGGTTGGTTGCTGGAATGGACGAGGCATTTGCTGTAATTACTGAAGCTGTTAAAAGCAAAACAAGAATCATAAGATATTTAAAACAGTAAAACATACTTAAAGCGGGTATCAGAAATCTATGGGACATACATTGTGCGATATGGAGGTGTCCGTTGCCGGAGAGCTATTTGTAAAAAGCTTTGAGTTCTGGAGAAAAATTTAGGACACAGTTATACAGTAGGAAATTTAGGCTTTTCACTTTGGGGGCTTAGATTTGTTGTTTTCCGACAAGACAATATTTTGGTTTGGCTTTTGGCACGCTAAACCTTTGTTATATATCTGACGAAAGCCCGAATTTCTGACAAGAAGGAGATCGGAGAGTAGGGGGATGGGAGGGATGAAATTATGTGCTAAATGTTTAACCGTATAAAGGTTGTGTGTTATGAAACTGCTGTCTGCAGTGAAACATACGAGGTTGGGGTGGAATCGTAGGTTTTGGAATATTGTGGTAGATCCCCCACAATACGATGCAATGAAGGATTGTTTGCTATATGTTTGCTATTTGTCTATATGTTTGCTTGATATATGAAAACATGATACTGAATGTCATGTACATTAATTCAGTCATGAAGTGATGTTTGCTTTCGCATTGTCAATGGATCAAAGTTACAAATAATTCACTCTACACTAACATGGAAAGACAACCTAATATAAAGCTATATATTGAAGTGGCAGATAAGACGAAAAGAAAGGGCAGGTGAACTTGTAATATCGAATTGTGAAGTATTAAAAATGTATGACTAATAGCAAAGAAAAGCAGTGATAAATGCCCAACGTAGAAGGATAGAAAGATTTAAGTTAGAGTTTAATTCAGCAATACTGAAAGTGGCTACTTTGACTGAATGTTAAAACACCTAAAGGAGTAAGTTTGAGTTTCAAAATAAAATATATATATATACCAAAGAACAGTATAATAGCCTCGGCTAATATGTTCGATACAAGCACATAAAAAACAAAAGCAAAAGTAGAAAAAGAAATATATGACAAACCGTTGTGTGCAGCATCAGCAACAACAACAAATGCAAGCAACAACCATACAGAGAGTGTTGGAGAAACTTTAAATGATAACATCGTCCACACCCTTTAAAACACTGAAAAACTACAGAAATTCATGGCATGTTAACATTTCTTCCAAGCAGTTTTAACGTATCCATAGCAAATCCATAGCAAACCACAAAGTTTCCAATTGCATGTGGCTCGATTCATTAATTTAGGCCGATGAATTCGGATGGTATAATGTATTTTATGAATTTTTAATGTTCAAGTGACTGATAGTGCCTAAACAGGTACTCTGTTTTTATCTTGCTAAAATATAGGTATTTTCTAAAATGTCAGAATCTCCTCCCCATCTGACACTATTGGTTGATTGGATCGACTGGCCTTAGATTCACTCTGATGGAGGCTTGCATGCTACAGTAAAATATTAGTAATTCATTTTGATACGCTCGTTCTGATCAATTTCTCTGTATACTGTTCGTCATCGACTTATTTATTCGGGCTTACACTTTATCGTTATCTTCATTGGTGAATAGGAGAATCCAGTGAAAGGCCTGGCATACTGATTCTTATTTCAAATCACTTATGTTTTTCATAGTCAATAGTTTTTCATAGAAAATCCTTTTGATTATCCCTGTTCTCTTCAAACATATAACAGAGGACAATATCAGTGATCGAATGATTTAGCGATTGAATGATTGAGCGATTAAATGATTGACTGATATCACAGATCGAGCTATTGGCATAATTTTGTATTTAAAGTTTTCATAACAGGCCCAAATCAAAGACTATATCTATTAAGGGTTTGAAGTTGTCATGCAGCACGAGGTTCCCACAGGGGAGCCACATAGCTCCATATGAATTTCCCCACCAGATTTTGACATATAATCGCAGAAACTGCAGAAGTTGGAGGCTTAGAGGCGTAGCCCCCCCCCCCCCCAAGCAATGATCAAAATGCGCTTAATCAAAGTTATTGGATTTCAGCATGTTGAAGCCATTGGTCCTAATATATTTCTAATACAAATAAAGTCCTTTTTCTTTCCAACAGTGTATAAATAATCACATATAGTCTTCATTGCTTGTTTGATAACACCCCCCCCCCTTCCCGATTCAAAAGTTATCGTCCTGCCCTGTTTTCTGACAATGTTCCCAGGCTTTTAATGCACCTCGCATGAAAATATCTGCAATAAAATTTTACGTTAATTTGTTACTCAATCACTTTCGGAACTGATCCTGCATAGCTAAGACAATGTTGAAATTGCATCCTTTCTTATAAAAAAAATAAAGAACAATCTAATAGTTAGATAGAATAATATAACGACACAGAATTCCCTCACGGACAGTATCACGTGACAATTGCACCATTGCGCTGTGGTTGCATCAGCGTCTGTAAATATGTTTTTTGTATTACGTAATTATTATTTTAAGGTTTGCTTAGGGTATATAAAGCTTTGTTCCATAATTTAGGGGCAGTCTTGTCGAAAGTTTTGTCGTACTGCTTGGAGCTCTGTCGCGAGTTTTGTCGTGCCTGTTGAAGCCGTGTCGTTATTTGTTGAACTTGTTGTTAGCCGTTAGTCGTATGATTGCCATAAAAAGAAGAATTTTGATCTTATCCGCCGTTGCCGTATTTTTGAGAATTTCTGCCTACAAAGAACTCACGTTTGTAAAACCCCCCTTCTGAAGGTTTTACAATAAATACTTCAACAGTTATAGCATTGCTGTTACTGCTAACCAGGCTATTCCCTTAACACATCAAAATAACAAGATTTATTGAATTGATAAAACAAAATTGTCAACTCAAATGCATAATACAACGTATTTAAAACTATTTATATTTTCAAAGTTTGTCTATGTGCTGCCCCTCAGTGAATAAGAAGAAGTTTTCTTCCTAGATAACATATTAGGCTTGGGTCCCGCTGCTCGTGGCTAAGTTTAGCTTTCGTCTTCCCTTTTACTTGTCCCGTCTTCACGTTTCACCTTTTCTCCAGTGGCATCGCCAGCTCGAAAAAACTGGGGTGAACGAAAACAAGTTTTCTCGGCCACGCCCTCCAGGCTCTTGGAAAAACCTTTTTAGTGTTTTTTTATCTATTTCGAAATCTTTTGGCAAGCAACTTTCTCAAACAGCTTTTTTCGTAACGGTGGCTTTTTCGAAATCGATCTGATCAGCCCACCTCCCTCGCCCTCCAAAGGTTTTTCAACAAATTTCGAGTAATTAGAAAATCGACTTCAGGGAAAACTTGGGTGGACATGTCCACCCCAGTCCACCCTTTGGCGACGCCACTGCTTTTCTCTGTCAACCAGAATTTTCTCTACCCTGTCTCTGTATCATGGAAAAGCTCCTTAGGGAACTGGGTGCAGGCGTTCACCACCAACACACAAGGAAACCAGGTCTGTAAAACGAACTAAAAGTTGTTAGAGTTAAACCTCTGACGAATTATCTTTATTCGATCAGACTTCATGGTATCTTTGTAAACAGTGGGATGTTGACAAAGGACAAATTAAAGATTGAAAACAAAAGATTTTGCAAAAAGTTCTCTTGTTTTGCAAAAAGTGGGGGCGTGGCCACCTGGCCCCGTGACCTCTAATCTTCTGAGGCCCTGCGAACATACTAGCATTTATAAAGTATCTTTATATTACCTTACAAATAAACTTGTGTAATTCTCGCCTTACTTGAACATTACCTATTGAAGCAAGACGTATATTTGAAATTTCGGTTCACGATACTTTACTACTGTTCTTTACATCCAACTCGCTTTGCATTCAAAAGCAACGAAAACATAGTACCTGTAGCTTTAAGTCTTCCATGTGTAATCACGCAGTCACCATAATCCTAAACAACATGAATTTGTATCTCAGTTTATTTCTTGAGCACGCGACGCGAATAATTTGAAAACGAAGGCTTTTGAAGATGCAGACTTGAAAATGCTTCAGCATTGAAATCGCAGTCTTGGCGGTGTGCGAATGCGAAAAACAGCAAACGAATGGTCTATGTTCAATTGTATTGAACTGCTTCGGACGAATATCGGTGATTTTTGCAATCCTTTGGGGTTATTATTCCGTGTGGGAATCATCTCAAAGGGATACTATTATCTATCCATTGTTATCAAGCAACGAGACATGGACTGGGTCCAACAAAATGTTCCTTACTTAGTCTTAGATGAATACTGATGGAGTATAAATTGCCTCTAACTAGACAATTATACATCATTACCTGGAAACATTAGTTTGACTGATTGAGCATAAAAAGCTGCGACCAAAATGCGTCCAATGCACGTTTGTGAACTTGATAACAAAATGGAGTGGGAAATTACATCAGAGCAAGATGTTTTCGACCAGAGGCCAGTCGTACAGCTCATTCAACACGGACCTGGAATAACACAAAGAAAAACACTTTTGTTGGTTGGTTTCCTTATTGCGTTCGGAATCGGCCTAAATCTGTTCAGTCTAGCTGCTATAGATGAACATACAGCTGAACAATTAGGCACATCGAGCCTTGGAGCGAAAACATTAGCATCGATAACGTTTTTCGTTCCTGCTATGTTTGGAATTGGTTTCGCTGTATTTGTAAGGGAATTTGATTTAAAGTTGACACTCCAGACAGTTACAATTTTGCAGATTTTGGGCAGTTTAATGTCTTACATAGGATTAAGCCAGAAAATTCCTGTAAAGACCTTGGCCATGCTTAGTACAAGTCAGCTAGCAGAGTCAATTGCCTTCGCAGCCTTCATTGAATGCATCCCAGTGTTCGCAGCTCTTTGGTCACGTGAAACACCGTCCTTGGTAGCATCTGTCCTGTTTTCTGGCCTCTACGTGGGCGCAGGTGCACGTAACATATGGCTCGGTTCATCAGGGAACAACCTCATTGAGATACTTAAAAGGATCCAAGCAAGTAGAATATGCATTGCTTGCTTTGTCATCATCATAATAAGCTTGTACATTAACAGGCCGCTAGCATGGAGTATTAACAGCAGCAGTACACTTGGGCGCCCAGGCACAGCTTTTGCTAGAGTTGTCCAGGGTATTAAAGATTTCCACTGGAATGGCAACTTACTGTTGCTGCAGAATTCGTATGCTGTGTACTTCGCTCTTGCGAATTCAATGATGCTCCTCCTCAAGGACATCATAGCCAAAGAACTCCCAGATGGCCTAAAGTCAGCCCATTGGATCATGGCTACAACCTACTTCACGGGAGCTGTCGGGATCATCTGCGGTACAATAATCATTCACGTGAAAAGCAAAGAGAAAACTTTTTCAGTTTGTCTCATAATAATTTCCTCTGTTTTCATGACTGCATTTACCTTGGCAACCACCTACATGAAGTCCGTGCCTATTAGTTCCCTGTTGGTTAGCCTTTGGGGAATCACTGGCTGTGCGTGGTTGGTGATGGGCTTGAAGTACACAATGGATATGTCGTACCGTTCATCGATCTGTGTCGCCCCGACTTTGTGTTTCGTCGCAGGCTCGTTCTATACGGTGATAATTACAGCGATATTCGACTGGATCCTGAATGCATTCGACTTTGCTTTTGTTGGATACTTCTTCTCCACGTTGTATGTCGTTAGCCTGATATTACTTGTCTTGTCAAAGAATCGACAATTAATGACAATTTATCAACGTTTGTGACTGTGAAAAGTCATCAAATTTCTATAATGAATAGCAAGTGAGATATAAAACTGTCTGAATTTTCTGCATTTTGGCGAGTTCTTCTACAAAAAAGTCGTCATGGGGGAAATCTGTCATAGGGGCAAACAGTTGAAAAGGGGGTGGGTTAGGCACCTTGGCTGCTAAAATAAGGGCAACTGACTTTTAAAATACAAATAATATCGGGGCCTGTTCTGCCTGTTGTTATTGCTTCTTCCACACTTGGAAATCAATAAAATATGAAAGTTTACACAATTCATCCGTAGCCTGATTTCTTTCATTTGAAAATTTGAGCCTGCTTTAGAAATGAACATCGTTGAAATTCAAACATTCAGAAACTCAAATAGACCTCAAAATTGTGCGGTAAATAGCAGACATCACTTCACCATGCATGGGATAGATCCTGCTGGAAATATTTTAGTCAAGTCAGAAACTATCGCAACAAGCAACTATCAAAAACCACCTACACAAAAAAATGTACTCATTCTTCGCACAAAATGAACAGTTTCTGACAGAGGCAGCTACACGCGTAGGCATTCAGTGTTCAAATATACTACAACCAAATGATCGCAAGCTTTTTTGCAAATGGCTGGTTTTTCGAATTAAAATTATTTTTGGAACAAATTAGCAAGATAACTTTGTCAAGAGTTGTAGGCTAAAACATGGTCGCAGGTGATACGGTTTAAAAATAGATTAAAGCGTTTCAGGGAATGACTCTGAATATCTGTGAACATTATGTTAAAGCAAATCTGGAAAAAATTGTACTATGTCAAACTTATGTTTAGTAACTTACTTGCAATAGCTTAGATTGCAGCTTCAGGGAATTGTTTGTGTTTAAATCTGCGATTCGTTTGTCGAATAACGTACTTTCTGTAAATACGCTGGGCCCACCGAGAGCTTTCTGGGGCCTTGGACAAAAGAGGGTAATTGATGACGTCATTAAAACTGTAACTGTTTTTGTTATTGTTATGAATTTTCTTATAACTTTTTTAGGCCCCTCTTAGCTGGGGAAAACGCCCCCTGCCTCCTCTCGGCGCACCTGTGCCATGCTACTGTTGTAGATAGAGATTAAGGTGACTGTGAAAAACGTACGCTCAAAGGGGGTTCCACGAAATTATACCAACGAATAAAGGGGGAGGGGAAGGCAGAGAAACAGCGGAAAAAGTGGTTTTGCTATGGAGAATAGTTTCTATAGGTGCATCTAGCAAAAGCTGCGCAATGAAACTGAAAAATAAACCACCATTACAATAATATCAGAATGACCAAGAGTTTCTTATACTTTTCAGTAGGAACTGGTGCGAGGGATAACGAAGAATAGACATAAAAGGGTACAAAATTATCTAGACCCAATATAAAGAAGCTACACGTAACTACACACTTATGAAAACATTCATATTTCGTTTCAACCGTTTCAGAGCTTGATAATGGCTTTTATGCACGAGCGAATGAAATCTATCGCAGACAGTTTTATTCAAGAAAGCGTAGATCGAACAGAATCGTTGTACCCCACAGAAAACCAACTGATAATGCTATCTTTAAAAACAGACTATTTCTACGCCTGATTCAGGTGTTTTTAAATAACGACTGCACGATTTAAGACAAATGGAGATTCACCAACTTGAAGATCATGCAAACACTTTCAGGCAGCCTAATTTCTATTTTCAATATGAAAAGGGAGATGTTAAAAGCGGATATCTCCTTATCAAACTTGGGTTTTTCTTTTCAGGAACGAAAACATTCGATCTATTCAAAAATTAAAAACTAACACAAAATACACCAAGCTATTTTCCGCCAACTCAAAAGTCACGAAAAGGTGGGATATTTGTCACAAAAAGGTGGGATATTTAAAAATTCTGAACTCTGGGTTTTCACTTTAACAGCGATGCAACTGTGCAAGCTATTGTTGAAAAAGTTAGCATTTTCATCCTGAGTAATTTTGGTCGTTTAAGAAAATTACATGGGAACAGATCTCCCACCTGCCTTCAAGAAAAAGACCATATTATGGAAATCTGCACCTGCCTTCTGTGAAAGAATCCTGCTGGAAAAGTTAAATTAGAAGCGAGAAGAAGGGAAATGAAAAAACAAGTAGAGAAGTAATGGTGGTTTTAAAATAAACACTAGAAACAGTTTTTGTCTTTCGGGTACAATCGTTTTTTAATAAAAATGACCTCAAGCTAAAGCTGTTTCGAGTTCTAATTCTCAGAATTAACAAAAACAGAGGTTTATATATTTAGCTCTGTTCTACACCACAGGCAAAGTTCCTGCATTCACTTTTCATAAAAAACTAGAAAGAATGGTGGCGCACTTTCCCTTACCATCAACAAACTTGATATTCTCTGACCTAACATATTTCCTTAAAAAAAGTCTAAATTCAAATGAACGCGATATCAAACTTCTTGAAATCTTATTAGCAGCCAGGCGTTTAGCAGAGAAAAAGGGATATTCAAGTCCTTTCACAAACGTAAAAGACGAAAAAAAAATCAAAAAATTTAACAGATGATTTCTGTCGATCTTTTATTGGAATTTTTCGATCATTTATCTGGAGAAAGTAGAGGTCTCCCAGATATACTCTTCAATTCATGCAGAACGTTTTAGGTCCTATAATTCTCAGGATATTTTAGGAAATTTCAGGACGTTGGTCCATCTTTGATGCTCAAAAAGATATAAGTGATCGAAGCAAATACGTGAAGGATACAAATATAATTCAAATCTTATAAGACCATACCACTTAAATACTTACAAGCATGCATTTACTAACGGACTACATTTAGTACAACTGAAGTACTACAAGTTTCACAGATAGCCATAAATCCCACCACCCACAAACAAATTTAAATCTTCCAATTCACCTACGTTACTTCAAAGTAATGGCACTGTAAATGGATTAGACGAAAATGTTAAAGATTGTGCGGCCACCGTAGCTCGACAAAAACTGACCACGTGCGATTCATCGGGGAATGATAAACACACGCAATCGAACGAAAAATTTCGGAAATTCTAGTAACGTGAATCTCACTAGAGAGTAAAAGAATGATGAACAGCGCCCTTTGGGAATACAACATCGCTTCATACTTAGTGAACTATCAAACAAACCTCGGTTTACTTCGACGTAATATAGGTATGAATGGTGAATAGCACCCCTTGGGGAATACAACATCGCTTGTAGGCGCTTCAAACTTAGTTAACTTTAAACAAACCTCGGTTTACTTCGAAGTAACACAGGTATTTTGGAAGACAGGAAGATATTTATCATTCTGCATATTGTTTGTTTAGCTCTCGACCAATAATAAGTCTGCGAACTTCGCTTGTTCCTGCGCCAATTTCGTATAATTTGGCATCTCTTAGAAGCCGTCCAGTCGCGTAGTCGTTAATGTAACCGTTTCCACCTAGAAGCAAAGGAGAAAAATTTCAGAAATCGAGCTTTAAAGTTATATAAAAGTGGTTTCTTTTTTGTGGATCCACACTGTAGATGTTGTGACGCATGTCTCGAATTGTTTTTATTTTCAAAACCAGTTGGGATTGTATCATATTGTAAATTAGGCATCTTAATACACATTGCTCTTAGTTTAATACTTTCGCTTAATGTTTGTCTTGACAGGTCAGTTTGGAGAACATATAATCTGAAACTTAATCGGGACAAATATTGTAAATGAAATGAGTCAAAAAGATGGGTATTAGGGACAGAAAAGCTTAATTTTATCGTTTTATTTCTAAAAATAAGGATCGGGTTTTATTATTACGCCTACTCGGCCCGTGTCAGGTACATTGATCAAGCCAGGTCCTTAGATCATAATTAAGAATATTATTACCTAGGCACTGGATTGCCTCCAGGGCAACTTGAGTCGCGTTCTCTGCTGCATACAAGATAACTCCAGCACAGTCCTACAGTTGCAGAGAAAACAGCGGTTAAATTAAACACAAACAAAGCAGATGAGCTGTCATTTAAGAGAGTGCTTATTTCGGGGGGGGGGGGGGGGGGTCACTCAATCGAGGATTGACGGCACTGAAGGAAAGGCATTAAAACGACGTATGTGCGTCAGGTTTATTACAGGCATTTCAATGGGGCCACGAACAAATTTAGATTGATAAGTAGAGTTCAATAAGCTTCAAATATTGGAGAAAACTGAATTGCCGGAAAACTACATCCATTTCCATAAATATTATTAATGTCAAATGTTCTGATAGACAGGGTTAAAAGCCCGAGGAGTCCCATTAATATCTGAATCAAGCAGAGATTAAAGGGTAACAACACTACATAAGATTAACAGCATGTTGCGTTTTGTTTGTATCTTTTGTCAATTAACTGCTGAATACTTCTATTACGTTGATATAAAGAATGTTTGGATGCAAATTAGTCAGCTTTGCGACTGAATAACTAGAGAAATAGTTTTAGTTTTCGCTCTCAGGGCCTTCTCTACCAAACCAATTAACAGTATATAGCATAAACAGTAAATACACGGAGGCTGGATACTAACACCTAGCAGAGACTGGAAACGCATTTATCATATTTTTTATTTGCCTAATGATCGCATTAAGCGTGGAACTTGCAACTTAGAACAGTTCTTTTCAATACACCTAAGCGGGTACAGTTCTGCCTATACGATAACGACCACTATATGACAGACTGGTAAACAGAAGTTTTCATAGACTACTATACACGAAACACATATATGACGCTAAACAGTTGCTCGCATTAAGCGTGATACTCGGAGTTGCAATTCAGAACCGTCCTGTTCTATACACCAACTCGTGTACAGCTCTGTCTATATGACATCGAGCACTATATGATAGATTGGCAAAACAGTAACTTTCATTACCTTATTATTGAAGTGCTTTTGATCACATGCTCTGGCAACAGTGTAGACGTATGAACGGCAGGCACTCAGTCTGACATACATATCAGCCATCTTCCCTTGCATAAGCTATAACAGAGAAAGTAACCAATATATCTTGATAAAGATGTATCTATATAGCCAAGTTTACAACGTATTGGCTAAAGATACAAATATTTGGTATCTTACAAGTCTTGAAATAGGATTCTTTTTTATTATAAGTATATCAGAAAAATCTTGAAACAATAAATCCCTGCTCGAATATCTAATACAAAAACTACTTAAGTCAGTACTTCAATAATACAATAAACTGAATGCAAGCTCGCCTCATAGGCCCGTAGCCAAGGGGTGGCATGGGGTTGGCGATGCCACCTCTGGAGCATAAGAATACCAGCCGTTTGCCAGCCAGAGAATTTTGTCTCTAAATTTTGAATGGGGTTTTCCTCGTTAAGCAAAAATTTATTAAAAATTGTTGAAAAGTCTGCTTGCAACAGATCTTGGGAGTTTGAAACCCTTACTCCACAGGCCTGGCTACGGGCTTGTTTCAAAACATTCTAATCAATAAGAATAAAATATATGGTATAGTCAAAATCGTAGGCGTCTTAGTCATTAAATAACCGACATGGTATTGTTAAATCTGCTTGTATCAAACATGGCCTACACAAATCTTTATATCACTGTAATGTCAATGATCACATTGGACTGTCTATTCATGTTTTTTGTCGTGGTTTTCCTTCTGAAGTTTATATAAACATTGTGAAACAACATACCTATAACTTTTAATCTACAATGTAAGAATTATTACAAATGTTTGACAGAATGAAATAAAATATACTAAGTGCATACCTGAAAGTGGCCAATTGGTGTGTCAAAGGCTTTTCTCATATGGCAGTAAGGAAATGCGACATCCAGAGCGGCTTGCATAATTCTGAAAAGTTAAGAGGTTGACAATACAAAATGCAGGATAAGGCTAGGCAGCTGATTACGGACGATAAATTGGTTGATGATTGCATTAATTGACTAGATGAGAATGTGAATTGATGAAGTCTGTTTTTAAAAGAATCTATAAACTAATATCAACTTGTAATTTGGACAGCTAAATTGCCAAACGTTTACACATTAAGATATATTTCACATAGAGATATAAAGACCCCAACAGTTTGGCACAAATGCAAGCGGACAACTTTCTACAGGAAGTCGCAATAGAGTCCCTACGTGTAAAAAACCACAACCCAATATTCTACATAGAACAATGAAGATGCCACAGTTCGCCACAAAAATACAAGCGGACAACTTTCTACAGGAAGTCGCAATAGAGTCCCTACGTGTAAAAAACCACAACCCAATATTCTACATAGAACAATGAGGATGTCACAATTCGCCACAAAAATACAAGCGAACAAATCTTCTAGTAAACTTCTACAGAAAATCGTAACAGAGTCCCTACGTGTAAAAAACCATGACTATATGCTACATACAACTATGAAGATCCCAACAGTTTGTCACAAATTCAAGCGGACAAATTTCTACAGGAAGTTGTAATATAGTTCCTACGTATAAAAAACCTTAACCAACTATTTGAAACTTAAGAGCATCCTTCAAAGCACATTTAAAGAGCCAGTGGACCAACATAAAATTCCTTGTAAGGGCAGTCCTTTTGAATATTTAATCTTTTAGTTAAAGTCGACTTATAATTCTACATATATGACATTTTTGTAAATGTACCTTACAATTCATTAGTTTAATTAAAGATTGAGGAAGTAGGTCACACCCATTATTTATAATAAACAAAACTCGTAATTTTTGTTGTTGGGTCCAGTGCTAAATGTTCATAAATGCTTCTTAAATACCAAATGCAGAAAAGCTACTTTTTAGAAGCACAAAAATGCAACACGAGATTAAATGAAATAGAAAACCTAATAAGTAACAAGGAGCTTTTCTTTCTATTTATCTACGACCGTTAAAAATGAAACAAGTGCGTAATCGTTGAAAAGAATCATTTTCATCCCTTCTTTAAAAGAAGGATTTTAGAGCAGTCTCCCTTGAAGTTGAGGGTGATCAGTGCTACGGTTACTTAAATTCAGGGCTCACTTTACTTATAGAAAGTTTCTCATGAAAAATTAATGTACAAAGGACAGGAGAAGGAAATTGGCGGAGAAGGACAGAAGTCATAAAAACAGGAGGATAAAAATGTGGTCCTAAAAGATTACCCCAATGGTCCAGCAGCAAGGACGAGCCTCTCGAGGTCCAAACCACTCATCAATATGTAAACACCTTTGTTTAGAGGTCCCATGACATTTTTCGCTAAGAGGAAATGTACAAGAATCATCATCAGATTTTGGAGTATTTAGGCCGGTTATTATCTGACGCATTTAAAGGTTTGCCTTAGAAAACAATGAATCAAAATCAGCGTTAGGGAAATACTGATGCACAACAAAAGTTTTAAGGTTAGCAAAAAACTAAAACGATATTCATATGATAGGTGAAAGTTATCAATCCATCAAAGATTTACGTTTTAAATTCTGATGAACATAAAATGATTGGATATAGAGTGATAGATGACATATTTTAACTGCTTTGAAACGAAATGAAACGAAACAAGACTGCATTGCAAGCATCGTGGAATATTTTGTGACCGTCCTAGAGTCTTTAGACATCAAGTATGCTTGCAAATGGAAAAAATATTGCAAGTATCAATTGATAATAGAACATGTTACATAATGATATTAGTAGTACCTGGCAGTGCCTTAATAATAACTGGAATATTGATTTTACACTCAAGATAAAAATTTTCATGTTAATAAAACTATAATACCTGGAACTTTGCAGTCTTCAAATATTAGTTCACATGTATTTGATCCCCGCATTCCAAATTTGTCTAATTTGGTATTTGTGGAAAAACCAGGCATACCCTATTATATGTAGAATGCAAAAGGAAATAAATCACCAAGAATAAAGTAAAAATAAAAATCACACTGTAAGAAGATAGTGCGGAAGGGCGGAAACATATCATATCATACTAAAGTACTTTTCACCCCACACTTGTCAGCGTAAAACATCGGATAGTGTAAAAAAGGAAGGAGAAAATTTATATCCAGATGTGAATTAAAAGTAATGAAGAGAAATAATAGCGCCTTAGATTGGTTCTTTGATATTAAAAACTGTAGCTACAGAAGCCTGGTTTTAAATTGATTTCACTGCTTTGTGAAGAGGCTTTTCAAAATCGTTGCTCATTGGCACGAGGAAGGATGGTCAGTTTTCTAAACACTGACATCAGAAAAAAATAGATGAAATTAAGACTTCAATGACTGATGTGTTTCTACTTCCAAACCATTAGTATAGGAGGAACCATAGAATTACAAGGCCTAACTTTACTCCAATATTCACAGAACTTACTTGCAATTTTTGAAAAAATTTAACAAACACTATGACAAAAAATAAATGGTTGAAATCTTTGGAACTGAAATAACAGTATCTTGAATAGGTCTCAGTCTTGAGAGATGAATAAAAAATATCTAACCTTCTCTATAAGAAAGGTGCTTATTCCATGCTGTTTGGCTTCCATATCCGTCTTAGCATAAACAACAAGAACATCAGCATCAGGCCCATTGGTGATCCAAAATTTGCTTCCATTCAGAACATAATAGTCTCCTATAAATAAAAGAAGTTTCAAATAATACAATGCTGGGTAATAATACCAATTTAACAGTAGCTTTATCTAAATGAATGTTGCTGAACCTCTGGAAGGCAAATATGTGTCCTGTTTATTCAATTGAAGAGTACTATGCTAGATTGTGCTATGCTAGGCTAGATTTTGATATGCTAATTGAATTTCCGACGTTATTCATTATTTCATCTTTGCTTTTCTCAATCAATAAATAAAAAATACAATAATCTAAGATACAAATGTCATTAAGAAAAAGTTTGGTCCTTTTCTATCCAATAAAGGTGTATGCTGTAAACCTACAGAAAGTGGTGGATACAAAATTCAAACATACGCACCTTGTTTATCAGCTCTAAGTTTCATTGAAACAACATCAGAACCTGAATTGTGTTCACTCATTGCAAGAGCACCAATGTGTTCTCCCGAAAGGAGCTAGAAGAAAAATCTTGATTCAGGATCTTTCAGAACATATCTTTTATAAAGGATTTGCTATTGACCTAAAAATTATTTGATAACTTCATAAGAAACATAAACTAACCTTAGGTAGGTATTTTGCCTTTTGCTCATCTGAACCGTGTCTTGTGATTTGGTTTATGCAGAGATTTGAATGGGCACCATAGCTCAAACCAATGGCACCTGAAGCTCTGCTTAGTTCCTCATTGATGATGACATGCTCAAAGTAACCAAGACCCAAACCTCCATCAGATTCTGTAAAGTAACATATGGTAGGGTTTCATCATCATCAGGTACCATCTTCAATCAGAAGGTTGGCTACCATGACCCTCCAACTATCCCAAAATCTGAGTTTTGGTTTGTTGTCATGGTCATAGATCAAACTAAGGGGCTAATAGTAGAAATGGGCCCCCAGAACCACCTCTACAGTGTTTTTAAAGGGACACCATCCCTCTGGGTAGGGATTTAGGCCATAAATTTTAAAAATATAACAAGACAATGGGATGGACTGAACTGCAATTAGTGCCTGTCAGCTTCTGCCAGTTAATGCAAATTAATCTTTAAAATAGGATCTATGATTATTAAATGTATTAGTTTGTAGAAATATAGAAATATCCTATGTTCTATATATATTGAACTAAATAAATTTAAAACAACATAGGTATGATAAGGGATACAAATTATACAGGGTGTAGGGTTTCACCTCTTCCACTTAAGCTTTGTTGTAGAGTAGAATTGTCAAAAGCAGAAGTCATAAATAATCAAGAGCGAAAGTGACAATGTTCAACTCATCTAGACACTTGAGACTAAATAACATAATTACAGAAATGTCTAAAAAATGAAACAAGCATAAGTTAACCAAAAATAACACAACATACATTAGACAAATCGTCACACATTCAGTTTTATTTCAATTTAACACGGGTGGCTGAAAGAAACTTTAAATGGAGAAAAGTAGATCTTGATTCTTGTTAAATATTGAAATCATCTCCTTGCTAGCAGTGATTTAGAAAAGTGTGTCCACTCTTGTCAAAAGTTGTTCCTATTGAAAGTCATACTCCCTAAAATATTTCTTAACTGCAACCCTGTGTATAAGGGGGTATTTTATATGGAATTTCTCAGCGGCATTAACATCCTTAGTAGCATTTTTCAGAATTTTTGATGTCTCTTTTTTGTGATAAATGCTGCACATATTTGTTGTTCACAAAATTTTCAACATAGAATAATACATTTGGAAATCATTGCACAAGAAATTTTTATCACAAACTGATTTAGTTCATACAATTTAGTTATCTGGATATTACTCTGAAAAATACCTTAATGGTTTATTCTTTTAAAACTTTCCCAATTTCTATTTAAACTGCTTCTTTAAACTGATGTTTTACCTGGAACAGTTACTCCATGGACCCCTAAATCTCCAAGCTTTTTCCAGAACTCCTTCAAAAGAAAACACATATTTGAAGGAATATATTGGAAATCAAAGTTCTAGTAGCATAACTTGAAAGAAAATACTTAGAGGATATGGTATTATGAAAATTGTTGATTCTGAGTTCATGCATCTCTTTATTGCATCACCATGCATCTCAGTTCATGCAAAATAGCTTTCAAAAGCTTTAGGCTTTAAGAATTTAAGCAACCAAAAATCATAATGGAAAAAAAGATGATTAACCTTTAGCATCATATAATAAAATTAAAACTAACCCTCATTTTTGGCCATCCATTTTCTTTGTCAATTTGGTCAGCATAAGGGGCAAGCTCCTTTTGTGCAAAGTTGTAAATGGTCTCTCTCAGCTATGCAAAAATTAGAATTAGACCAAAAATTAAATGCATGGCTATATAATGCATTCACCTAAAACATATGGAGGTTATTATTTAAAACTTAGAAATGGAACTTAAGGATAACAGAAATGTAATACTTTAGTGTAAATATTCTTCATTTGCTTTCTCTGTCAGCTTTCTCAGACATATGGTTTGTTCTGTTTTGGCTTGGACATAGAAAATAAAACAAGATTTGCGTACATTGGCGATTTCAAGAAACGCATCCTATGTATCAATAGGCCAGTCTGCAGAGTAAGGCACTTTTCGACGAGATCTCCGGTGTGCACGAGCAAAAAGCCTGGTGTGACGGTGTGCACCACCAAAAATTTCTGGTGTGCACCGACTATTTTTTCCTGTTGTGGTTAAAATTTGTGAATTTGCATTTCACCGCAAAAATGTGTGTGAAGTATACTGTTGAAGATAGCGCAAGTTTTTATTTGTATATTTGTCAAGTAAGATTCATGATACCTCAAATTTTTCATACAAAACTGTGCTTGTTTTTATCAGCTGACATTTTCTATGGGACCACACCAAGCCACACCCATCTTAGTTGCCACACCCAAAAATACGGGTGTGCAACAGGTTTTGCATAAAAATATCTCCAGTGTGCACATGCCATACTCTGCAGACTGGTCAATAGGTAGGTACCAAATAGTCCTCTCGCAAAATATTTTTAGTCTCAAACAAGCAAGAGCAGTCGAAACTATAGCCCCCTTAAAGATGAGGCTCTTGAAATAAAGATTTATCTATGCTATTTTTAAGCTCTATCGAAAATCGTGTCGGGAACGGGTATTTTTTTCAAAACAAACTAGCGATATGTTATTATAATTATGCAATGTTGTCGGTAAAGGTAAAGTGGCAGAGACCTGAATTTGATCTTCATTGAGTCCAAAAAGAACATCATCCACTCCGGTTGCAGGCAGACTCTGTGCTGCGGCAGGAGCTAGCTGAGATTTCTTGGCAACAGTCTGGAAAACAGCACGGCGTAAGTGATGAGTGGTCCTCGACAGGAACGCCATCTTTGCTTCACACACGCAAGATTGTTATGATAAATGAATACGAGACTAGTTTCTCCGCAGCGGCGATTAGAAAATGTTGTTTGCGGAACCGAAAAATGAAATAAAATTTCTAACAATTTAAAACATTTGGTTTCATAAATGGATTCTAAAGTAGTTTCCCTTTCTATCTCTATTTCTTGTGCCCTTTGCTCGTGTACGACTCTTATTCACACGACTCTAATAACACCCGCTTTGCCCTCACACCCTCTAGAAATTCTATCTTAAACAGTTTTCAAATAAACTTACAACTCTTTTTAAAACTTTCCATAGTTTAAAACTTGAAGAACCCAAGACATCGGAGTTGAAACTTTCAAACAAAATAGTAGAGAGAGAGATAACGACAAACTGGTCATTATTGCTTTCCCTTTTTGGGTATCAATGCTTATAAATAAAAAGAGCGGAAACCGATAACTAACAGCTAATGAGGATTGCTGCAAAATTCAATATCTATGAGAAAATATTTACAAGATAAGTTTGTACAAAATTGGAATGCTAAAAGGTGATGTTTGCCTTTTTCGCAGCGTTAAATGTAACTTTCTAAGGATTTCATTGAGTCAAAAGGGCAAAATAGAAAACTTTGTGTTCAAAAACCACACAAATGGATTTATATCATCACACAACATCAAATTTAACCTGGAGTATACTAGAGCCAAAAGAGTCTATTCATCCATTCCTCAGGCTATAAAATATATTACAATTAAAGGCGAGACTGGAATATCTTTTTTCGAAAATCATCTTAATTATATATTCTTATCCCGAAATATTTATTAATGTCATGCTTGTATAAAATACAATTCTAAAAACCTAAAAATGTTAATTTTGTAAAAGGTATTTATGGATGGAAAGGATTTGAAAGGATTTAAATAAATTTGAAAGCACGTGTTACTCTTTAAATTGTTTATTAATTTCTCGTCCGATTAGCAATCTACGAATCTCATTGGTCCCTCCACCGATTTCAAAAAGTTTTGCATCCCTGAGAAGCCGCCCAGTTGAATATTCGTTGATGTATCCATTACCACCTAGTAAATGAAAATATAATTTGTGATTAATGAGGTCAACTAATAAAATGAGAAAAGCAATACATAGAAGATTAACAAGCATATAAAGTAATGGGCAAAGCTACAAATTGTTAGGGGGACGAGGGGTGACAACGCCCAGATTTGCTGACAAAATGGCGTTTCTCAAAATGGCTTCCAGTGAAGTCTCTCTTCTTTGTGAACCATAGCAGAAAACACACACAATTATTGGGGTAGGAGTTGAGTATATAGTACGGAAGAATTTGTTTATCGCCATTATCATGTTTTAGAATTTATAAAACGTTGGAGCAGTAAAAAAACATTTTTTGCAAAATGTTGAAATCATTTTGTCGACAGGCTTAAAGCAAGGGACTCACAAGTTTTAAAAGGGCCATTTCTTAACATTTCTTAAGAAAGGGGCATTTCTTCAAAGGTTTAGAGGGTAATGTGCCCCTGGTATCCACATAATTGTATCCTCTCAAATCATAAAAAAGGATTCAATAAGGCATATTACCGAGACATTGAATAGCATCCAATGCAACTTGAGTGGCATTTATACCTGCAAATAACGCAACACCAGCACAATCCTGAAACAAATTTTTTCTATAAAAATCAAACACAGCCATATACGAAATTTATGATCTGATTAAATGTAAGAAAAAATTATCAATACAGTTTAGTGAGACATCCATCCGCGAAATTATTGGGTTTGGAACAAGTTACCTCATAGTAAGAAAATCTTAAATTAAGGACAAGATTATGATATCATTATTGCTTCTAGTCAACATCCCGTAAGACCTACGATATTTCGGATATTAGAAAACTGCCAAAAATTTCTGGCTTAGGCTTTTTACGTCTTGTCAAACCATCTTTAGGAAGTTCGCTTCTTTTTGGATCTACATTGTTGTATGTACAATCACTGCCAAAAGTCTTGGAACACTAACGTAGGTTTTCAAAGGCAAATTCAGCCATCCCCCTCTCCCCCTAGGAACAATGTTGATTTACTATAGAAAAAAGAAAGGGGTTATGGAGTACGCCTTTTCTTGTGGATTGTTTGATATTGTTTTATACTTTCAACATTGTTTTGGGGGGAAAGGGGGGCGGAAGTGGTAGTATTCAAGAAAACAAATGAAAAATGAAAAGCACAGCGCAAAGTGTTAGGTGTTCCAAGTAATTTCGGCAGTGATTGTAGGTCCAATCGAATAGTGATCGAGGCAATAATATCATTGATCAAACCAACCAAACGGCTTGACAGAATGATACCAAAATATATCTCTCCTTGTATTCTATTTGTTCCCTCTCTTTGCTAGTGCAGCTAACCCATTTCCGATCAAACGAAACAATTTTTCATGGTATAAAATGAGCCATAATTTGAAACTGATACCAATTTGTCTTTAATTATCTGATGAATACACGAGAAAAGGAAATAAGTTTTAATATAAAAGGCTTAAGTATCTTACCTTGCTCTCAATGTGACCCTTATCACATGCTCTAGCAACAGTGTAGGCGTAAGACCGTGTAGCGTTCAGTTTCACATACATATCCGCCATCTTGCCTTGCATCAGCTACGAAAAAGCATTTATCAGTCCCATAATAAAATGTGTAGGAAAAAACAGAGTGGTCATTATATAATTTCTGCCTTGGATTTTAAGCTTCATTAAAAGCATACGACAGGTATTAGGTAAACTAAGTTGGTCCCATCTTTTTGTAAAAACAAACAAAAAAGTTGTGTAAAATAGCATAATTTACTTTCTTCAACATCCTTACCTCACAGCCCCCAGGACTCCAGTACTCACCAAAAAAACAAAAGCAACATAACTTTATCTACCAGAAAACATTTCTCAACCAATGGAATATATTAGCAACTAACACCCTTACCGTATAAAACTAATTATATTGCACACAAAATTTTGTTGTAGAATCGAAATATAGCAATTGAAAAATACTTTTGAATAAAAAATTACTTGGAAATGGCCAATGGGTTTGTTGAATGCCTTCCTCGTGTGGCAGTATGGAAATGCAATATCAATGGCAGCTTGCATGACCCTTTATTAAACAAAAGGGGATGTCAGTTGAGACAACTAAAAGATTATGCAGAAGGCGACTACAGTTAGAAAGGCCAGGACATAGACAGCACATCTCGTCCTCTCTGTTTACTGAGCAACTGTTTACAAAAAAGCGTTTCGATTTATCAAACGTGTGCAACGGTTCTCGTACAAAAAAGCAGCTAGATGCAAAATTTCCATTTTTATAAAACGAAGACATTACCATCAAAGACAGATTCGATGACACAACTAGAGTTTGTTGATAGGGCCGATGATTTCTATTGAGCCAAAAAAGCCGCACGGAAAGACTATTGGCAAGCCAGCATCCAATGGAGACAGTGTACCATTTGGGACTCGGTGCTGGTATACATTAAGCGGGACAGCCTACTAAAACTTACTTTCACAGTTCAGATCTCTGATTGCAGAATTGCTCTTAAAATATCACTTTAGTTCGACGGGTTTTGGTTTATCAAACATGTGCAATGGCTTCAATTGTCATTATAGCGTGACTTTCTTAAGAGGCCATGAGAGAGAAATGTGTGAGGGGAAAAAGAGAAAATTCTAGTACTATCCAGGACAAAAGTATTTCCTTTAATGGAGGCAATTATGGAGTACCTAATAATATATAATGTTTAAAGTTTGATTATATAAAAAACAAACTCACCCTACCGGACCTACAGCAAGAATAAGCCTCTCTATATCCAAGCCACTCATTAAGACATAGACACCTTTGTTCAAGCCACCAAGCAGATTTTTAGCTTCAAGAAAATACAGCGAAAATACAATAAGCACGATAAGAATGCAAGGTCTGATAAAAGATTGATGGAGCAATCCAAATGCGGTTCAAAACACTATCTTTATACGTAAACTGCAATACTGCTTGCGGACATTGAGTGAAGGACCTTGAACATTAATAGTGACAGATTGGTTTTGAAGGAACATAATATTTTGCTATAAACCCTCATCCTTTCTCTTTTATCAATATCATCTGTCCCATATCTCTTTTTATCAATTTCTTGACACCTTAAACCAACAATGATTTGCAAGCACTGGCGAAAACTTTGAAGTTTCTTGAAATGGACCGACTTTTTGGCAATTTATCGTCGCTTTGGTTCTACATCTATTGTGATTTCCCTAAAGACAGCCTTGGGTTCTCATTGCATTTCAAGTTCTAAAGCAGCGCAAACATGTCCACACAATACCAAGAAACTATTTAAACGATTAACTGTAGGTACAACTTAATTTTCTTCTTCAAAAAAAGATTTACGGAGGTTGCATCACCAACCTGGTACCTTGCAGTCTTCAAAAATTAACTCAGAAGTATTTGATCCTCGCATCCCAAGTTTGTCCAGTTTCTTACTTGCTGAGAACCCAGGCATACCCTAAAAAGACAAGACAAATATTCATTAGCATAAAGAACGTGAAGTGAGAGTTCCAAAAGGCAAAGACAACAGCCTGAGATTTGGACAGAAATAACGATTAAAATCATCGAGTATAGCAAAGTTTAAGAACAATACGGAAAGTATATTCAAATTTCTTTATTTCAATCTATGAAAATTCAGAGATCAATTTCATAAAACCGACAATTTTCATTAATTTTTAATACATCTAAGCTTCGATATTTTGGCATCTGATCCTAATATCATTCTTTTGATTTCATTTCCATTTTCTACGATTTACATACTGTGGGATAAAAATTCCAGATAAAAAATCAGTTTTCAAACTTACAGATATCAAGAAAGAGAAAAGATTAACATAAAAACAACCCAAATATATCCTAGCATTTTTCTTACACATAGAAAAGAAAAACCATGTAAAAAGTCATTCAAAACCTGCTGCCAATTTTTTATATTACGATTTCACAACAACTAATAGCATTTAACTGCTTGAGTCTTTCTTAGGTACTGCTGGCTTATTTGTCAAAAATGGACAATCTATGACAAAGTTCAAACTTATTTGTGCGCCTTTAACTAAAACAAACTTTGGTGTACAGAACAGGATCGTTCTAAGTTGCCACTCGTCAGGCAACTGTTCATGATGATCGCATTGAGTGTGAAGTCGGAGTAGCAGCTTAGAACAGTCCTGTTCTAGACACCAAATCTTGTACAGCCCTGCCCATATCGCACCGAGCAATTTATTACAGACCAGCAAAACAGTAATACTCATTAGTTGATCAAATACACACACGTTTAATCTCTAAGCAGTGCTCTCTTGATTCCATTATGCACCAAGCAATGCATCAAAATGTTCTATCACAACGAGTTTAGCTTAGAAGCTCCAGGACCAAACATACCTTCTCAACAAGAAAGGTGCTTATACCATGATGTTTCGCTTCCATATCCGTCTTAGCATAAACAACAACAACATCAGCATCAGGCCCATTAGTGATCCAAAATTTGCTTCCATTAAGAACATAATAGTCTCCTTTAAAAAAATTATAATAGCTTAAAAACTAGGCTATGCTACCACATCAAACACAAATGTAGTATTTGTAGGATCTACTTTACATTTTATCCAAATCTGATAAGAAAATGTTAGGGGTCTTAGCATTTTGGTAAGGAAATCTTTTTGATGTAATTCTGTTTTTTTTGAGCTGCCTTTGCACAACCAAAAGTTAGTCATGGATGTTCCCCGTTGATAAAATTGGCCATCCAAGTGTTCCATGTTGGTAAAAAGGTGTCCAAAAGCTGTCCGTTTTCCCCTAACAGCCTGGTGGCTGGTGCTGTCATTGAATCATGTTGTTGATAAAACATTATTTATTTAATAGAAACAGTGACAATGTAAGCCAGGGGTTTTAACTGTATTGCATGAAAGGGCTACCACTTATAGCAAAGTGTCTACTTAAAATGATTTACAAGGAATCTGGGACTATTCTCTTAAAATCTTTAAAAATGTCTCTTAAAAATTTACAAACCAAGAAACAGAAAAGATTCTAGGGTATCCCTGAATAGCAAGTTACAAACATCGCTGGAGGACAGTATCTTATGGCATTTCTTTATGCCCACTAACCATTGAATAGTGACATGAGCTAGCATAGCAACACCATGCTGATGAGATAGAAGATTGCAACTAAATCCTGTCATTGAATTCAGCTACAAAAAGAGCCATCAAATATGAAACTAACCTTTTTTATCAGCTTTTAGTTTCATTGATACAACATCAGACCCTGAACTGTGTTCACTCATTGCAAGGGCACCCATGTGCTCTCCAGATAAAAGCTGCCAAAAATTTGAACAAAGCAAAAATACCAATTAGAAAGGCAGCAATTCTTCAATCTGCTATAAAGATGATCTTCTAACCATATAATACTTCAAGTTTAGTGTAAATGTATTGCTTTTTTCACTTTCTTTTCGCTCACCAATTGAATGCACTAGAATGGTATACCATTCTGTTGCATTGCCAGTAACCCCTGTGTACACTTATTGTAATAATGCAAACATTTGCATTTTGGGGGTGGACGCTTAATTAAGGGTGGAGACTTATTGAAATTTTTACATTCAGGATAGGGTATTTTTTGGGGGTGGGGGTTCGAGATGGGGGGAGTGGGTTTTGAGATGGGGGGTTCGAGATAGGGAGGGGCTCAACTCATGGATTTATGGTATTGGGTCAAAATTCTGAAATTTTTAAGACTAAAAATTGTTATGACATCACTACACCAATTCTGGTTTTTATATGTTATTCTACAATGGATAGACAATGGTTGCTAAAAAACTTCGTGATTTAATTAAAAAGTTGTCCCTGATCTGGTTGTTGTACTTTCTGGAAGCCAAATGTGAACATGACTACTCACTTTTGGTAGGTATTTTGACTTTTGTTCTTCTGAGCCATGCCTCACAAGCTGGTTGATGCAGAGATTGGCATGAGCACCATAACTAAGTGAAATTGCAGCTGACACCCTGCTGAGCTCCTCAAGAATGATGCAATGCTCAAAGTAGCCAAGACCCAGACCTCCATATGATTCTGTAGAATCAATTAAGATGAGACCACAACTGAGAGAACAGTAAAATGGGTTTGATGCAGACCTTCCTGAAAATTATGACCAGGTTTTCCTCAAGATGATAATTCATACATAGATGTAGGAGCCAGGGGGCACAAGGAGCACATGCCCCCACCTTATAGAAACAGAGGTAAAGCACATACTTGTAGCTCCAAGAGGTGCCCCCAACTTCGGAAATGCTTGCAATGTCTATGATTTTGTATCTCATTCTGTAAATAGATGTGGGGTAACTCCATAAGTCTTTAGTACTACACAGGCAAAGGGTATCATCTTGGGGGAGGGGGCTGTAGGGCTAGTCTAAAGAATATGCCAGCTATATTCTTTGGAATCAAATTTGAAAAAAAGAAAGGCAAAATGTTTTGTATAATTATGCTCGCACTGATCCGGCAAAATTGTGGATAATTTACCTGGTACTGTGACTCCATGGATTCCCAAATCACCCAATTTTCTCATAAATTCCTTTCAAAAAAATAAAAGAAAGTGCCATTACTGTAGAAATCAGAAAGGAATCTACAACTGATTGGCTACTATGTTTGCACCCTAGTGCAAACCGAAGTCAGTCACAGGTCAGCAAAGAGCTGCTCACCACTGAAAATTTCTAGGTTTCTCCTGTATGTGTGAGAGAATCTTTTTGTCAGACAGTGGCAGACACCTAGAGGGGCCTCCCCAATATTTTTGAGAACAATGGTCTTTTGTTCTAAAAACAATGATAAAATGTGACATCATCATATCAAAACAAAAGGCTTGCCCCCAATATTTGACCAAGTGTCCACCCCTGTTGTTAGAAAATGATCTTTTCAGGTCTATGTAAATAACCATTTTCTTGTCAAAATTTGCATACTTTTGCCCCATAAGATAACAATAAACTTACTCACACAAGGAAAATAACACTTATGAAACACAGAAAACTTCTCTTCACAAAAAACACTGTGTAAAAGCATTTATCAAAAATAGAAGGATTATCTTAGTCATAGCAACAAGACCTATATCTGCAGCCTCACCCTCATCTTTGGCCATCCATCATCCTTATCAATTTTATCTGCATAAGGAGCCAGCTCTTTTTTTGCAAAGTTGTAGATTGTTTCTCTAAGCTGAAATTGTAAAAAAAACAATAGTTATTGTAAAATCTGTGCTGGGGAGCTTGGAAAATTTTTTAATATGATCTGCAAGCAAAATAATTTGATTAGCAAACAGTAATGATCAAGAGTCTGCTTCGAGGAAGTCAGAGAAATCATGATTAAGACCTGATAGCATAGCTATGTCCATCTTTGTAGATGAATATGATAGAAAGACAAAAATAATATAGGAGCTTCATCAAGCACCTAACTGAATGGGGGAGCTTGATCAATCAAGCACCTAACTAACTCATTCCAGGGCCTGCTTTTTTGCAGATAAATGCAGCTCTCACTTGAGAACCTTTGTAAACAGAGAGCAAAGTCATTCAAAACCCGTTTGAAAGTCAAATGAAGTCCAAAAACGTTTTTATCTCAATTCTATGATTGTTGATTTGGCCAGTCTGCATTCAAGACCCCTTTTGCCCCAGAACTCCAGTGCAATGAGCATTTCTACATTGTATTTTGGCATGTTTTGGCAAATCTTATTCAGGATAAATATTGGCTAGAATCTGTGGCAAGGTAAAATCACAGAATGCACACTGGCTATTTGGCATGCAAAATTAAAATTTCAGCAGGTACTATGAAATTTGGTCCAGTATGTGTGCTTACTACATTGTCCGTGGACTGAGCTGTGTCCACATAAAAGTTTTCCAGCATGGCCTAGGTAGGTTGTCATTGATTCACAAAAGTACATACACTAAACTTTTATTTATGCAGTGATGCATATGTCATATATGCAGGCCCGAGCACAGAGCTCTGGAGTGGTATACCACTCCAAGCGCTGCAGCATAAAGGATACCTCGCTGGGAACTACCACATTTACCAGAATAAATGAATGGATCTCAAACCTTATTAATCTTGCATTATATAACCTATGATTATTTATCAATATACAAAACAAAGTAGTTCATTATTATGAAGAAGGTTCCAACATATTCAGGAGGTTAGGTCAGATTGACTTAAATCAGTAATTACCTGAATTTGATCATCAGTCAGACCATAAAGAACATCATCGACTCCTGTACTGGATATATTTCGAGTCGCAGGTATCCTTAGCTGAGGCATCCAGGCGCAAAGGGGTAACAAACACCTTCGTATGCCAGAAGCAGCTCTCCAGGAGACCGCCATTTTTGAAAAACCCTGATATTGGAGACGAGGCTGATGTATGCCTCCACAGCACAGCCACAGAATAGCACAGCGTTGTCTACATAGATTTTTCAGCAAACTTTTATGATTTCAAATTTTTTCACACTTCCCACCAAATAGAAATAAAAAGATTGGAATTTTTTATGATATCATAATAATCATGAGAACCACCCCTTTCCCATTTTCGGTAGACGCTTTTGTCAATTGTCCTCTATTCTCGCTAAATCTTAGCCTTAGCATTTCCTTTTCAAATATATATTGCTGTGCGTTGGCTCAATTAGTCCAAGGCAACTTCTTTAATGTGACCTGTACAATGAACACGATATTTCGTGTCTCTGCTACCTTTCTGAGCGTATCAACTTTTCTGCTCTCTTTGGCGTTTCTCCTGACCTCCCCCTTTTCTTTCCATACTCTCTCCTTCCCACCCCTCTCCTTCCTTCCCCTCACCTTTCCACCGCCTCCCATTCCCATCCCCTCCTTCCCCTTCCCTTTTCCTCCCCTTTCCTCCCTTCCCCACCCCCTCACCATTTCTTTTCCTTCCCCCTCTGGGTTCCACTACAACAAATATAAAGAAAAACAACAGTAATTGCAGGTGCATCGTTCTGGACTATTGCAAAATATCAACAGTTAACTGTTCTGCATTTAATTAAGTTCAATTTAAATATGACTGTTACAAATACATCTATCTGCACGATCGATGACACGGATCCGTGTTCGTGTAAGCCAGATTAGGCTGGGTTATCTCACTAAAATCAACATAAAGCTACAGCAAATAAAACTTACACATCAATACGAGATTTCCTTCTGCAAGAGACGTAGTAAAAGATTTATGCTAGTTTACAAGGGAATTGGACGTGGTTGGAATTGAAGTGCATTTTGGAATTTGTATGCACAGAATCTCTCAAGACTTTATGCAAGATTCTAATTATCTATCATGACAAAATAAGCAAAAGGCGATGTTTAAAAACAACCTTAAAACAAACATTACTTGGTACAGATGGTATGAAAAATCGTAAATAAAACATGTCAAGTTCACTTGTACGTCTAAGTTTTATCTACTATGCATGTCATAAGACTGACACTGAAAAAACGTTTGCAAAATTATACATGTAGAAAACATATATAATACCATTTCCGTTGCATAAATACAGTCACGGGGGGGCACTTGGCTAATTTGAGCGGAGAAGCATCGCTAGAAAATTGGGACTAACATTCCACGGCTAATCAGCGCCGTTTGTATGGGACTAGCAGTGAACGGCATGGAGGTAAATCAGCTTGTCTAAATGACAACCGGGGATTGTGCTCTGAAATCGTGGACTTTTAATCTCAATTCCGCATATCGACAATCTTCCCCTATTTTGGCTTGGGATGACGCCCTTCTATTTTGGCCTCTGCATGAACAAATAATGCAAAAATAAGAAGCAAAATATAAAAAGCTGCATAACTCTGTATGTCAACTAGAACTTATATCAAAACAACAACTGTCCCCATAAAGTTGGTTTTTCATTTCGAATTCTCCACTCTTGTTGCGTCCCTAAACCTAGACCAAGTTAGCCTGTTCATGAAGTTGTCAACAACTCCGCCATTTTGACGCAACCTCACATGAAGCCTATCTAAATTTAACATCTTCGAACACATATTACAAATCCAGGCATTGGCTATTTAAATGGGAAGGCTTCTTGCATCAGTTTTAACAATGGACGCTTCAACGAAACCAAATAAACTCCTGCGCAGCCACCTACGTACAAAGTGGCATGGGATGTGCTGTATCATTTCTCAAGATGGAAAACGAAAGCGAATCATTTTAAAGACTACAAATAAACTACATCACCAAATTTCAGACCCAAGAGTCTGCTTTAGATTCGTCCTGAAGCTGGATCTTATCGTCGTCCCGTTCTTTTCTACTTTTGTAAACCGGGTTTGAATAAAGCGGCGTGGTTTCTCCTTCGACACTTCCATCCTCCTCATCATCGTCCTTGCTCGCGCTGCCCTTTTTAGGTTTCTTCTCTTTCTTAGCTTTGGATTTCTTTGGATCTGTACCAGGCATCAATGGCTCGTCTTCACTAGCACTGTACGCAGGTGGCCTGCTCTTCATTTCATACTCCTCCGTAGGAGGTTTTTCGTCTCTCTCCGCCTTGCCTGACAACGGTACTGGTTGGTAACCATCGCTGTCAGCCTCGTTCTCTTCCACCATAACAAACCTCCTTGAATCACGCCGCAAGGGAATATCCTGCTGTTTTTCCTCCATTTCAGCAAAGGTGTCTCGCTTTGGTTTCTTCGGTTGCTTCAGTGTGGCTGTTTTGTAAGCTTTTTCTTCGTCCGAAGCTTTACTGTGTGACCATAACTCTTTCTTAATCGCTTCTTGAAACTGTTTGTAATGCCAAACTTGCATAAGGACCTGATAGATTGAGAAATTAATAGACAAGTTTAGATTTAAGAGAACGGGTCTTGAGGAAGAAGTCTATCTATCCCACACTGAAAGTCCATAGTTTTAAAACCACGGTCAAATATCGTTATGACGAACTCTGCTTATTACGAAATCTCGCAAACACGAACTCAAAGTAAGGTCCCTTAGAATACTCCCTGTGTAACGAACCCTCTGTATAACAAGCTCCTGCTATCACGAACTTGTTGTCATTACGAACGTAAGTCTTTTAAATCTTGGCACACTCCCATTATAATGGACACTAGGTAAGGAACACAGAATTCGTAATATCGTAATAATGTGATATCGTAATAATGGAGGATGTCATGGAATTCTTACACCTATATAGAAGAATGGTGTTGTATTCAAAGCTTGTACAATCAACGTGTATGGGGAGATGACATAAAGAAACCGGCTGCATCCTTCTTCATGTATATACAAACAAAGATTTACTCACTCTATTGGCATCAAGAACAACTCTTTGTGAATATGTTCTTAACTGCTTCTCTTGTTTAGGATCCTTCTCTCTTGTCAATGAAACGATCCTTTTGATGCCACCGTGATCAGTCAGTTGCCTTGTGTTAAAAAAGAAATTATCGATAACGTGTCTAATTGTGAGCAATACCTACAGACATGCCATGCCATGATAGTATTCGGCACACCCCAATAGTAATAAAACCGATTATACTAAAGTCACCTGTCAAATGCTGTCTATAATTGCAACAAAGACTACATTTATGGAAAACTATTTTGGCTATAAAACAAGAACTGGTAGCTCTCCTAGTAATTTCCAGGTGAGAGTAGAGCAATTTGCTTTTTAGAGCAATTAAGGAGAGCAATTAAGGAGAGCATTCTGAAGCTCCCTTCCAGCATTGAGGAGAACCTGGAGGGGAGCAACAGCAATGGTTCTCCTCAAACAGCCAGGCCTGTGGTAACTCACACACAAACACACACATCATTCTATTTTCTTTTAACTGAACTATTACTATAACATAGAGCTGTAGCCAACTTGAACCTCTATGAGTCTGTTTTACAAATTAAACTTTCCTTATGTTCAAGATTCAAGATGAATGGTCGTCAAATTGTAGCGTTTATTTTGATTAGTAGAAGAAAGTAGATGCAACTAATAGAAGGATAACAGAAAAAGAAGCAGGGTGTAACTAACTCTTGTCAAGGTTGCCGGGGATGTCTTTAAAGTATGGACACAGGAACAGAGGGCAATGAAGTTCCAAAAGGGAAAGCACAGGGCCATAAAGTTCCAAATGGGGAAACAGAGGGCCATAAAGTTCCAAAAGGGGAACCCCTCCTGTAAAAAAAGGGGAACCCCTGAGTAAAAAAAGCCATACAGATGCATACTTATTTCTAAAAATTCAATTCCGTATCAACCTGAGTCTGGTACATTCGACTGAGAAAATAACAAACTGACGGGGTATCCGAGTCTAACATTAACAGAGCTGGCCATAAAGGAGCAAATCGTTATTCACCCTTAATGTTCACGAGTCTGAACAGACGCTCAAATTGAACTGAAAGCATACATACTTGCAATTGTCATAAGATAAGTGAGTGACAACTTGAAGCGTTCCAAGGATGCCACATATTGTGTATTCTGATGGTTCCTCTTCTCCTTCTGGGCTACTCGGCGTTGGTAGCACAGCAAGCAGTTCTTGCATGGCATATTTGCCTATCAAAAAAGAAACTGTGCGTTAAAGATAAACATTAAAAAATGTGATCAAAAATTCTATTGTCAATCTAAGCGGCTTTTAACATCCTTTTTCGACCGTGACGTCATGAAAACTATACCATTTTACTTCAAAAGTAAAAAGACACTACTTACCAATAACCTCTTTATTCTTATCTTCAAGGGCGAGGTTTCTTAGCACAAGGGCCACTGCCCTTACGACATATTCCTGCTCTACCGTCAGCAGTTCGAAGACTGGGCGCAAGCCATCCTGTTTCCTCACGTGCGTTCGTAGCAGCGATGCCCACTACAACGAAAAGGTGAATTAACTTTTCTACATAAATAAAAATTGAATAAATCTAGGCGCAAATTCTGATAAATTTGACAAGGCTGCAGATTGCAAGCAAGATAATAAATCAGCAAGATCTATTAATGTAAATTTACCATTCATTGTCTTCTTTTTTAACATTCAAAAACGATTATTCATAAAATATTTAACTGGACTTCCTCTACTAAAAACTACTGTTGACTACAATAAGGTTACAAAAGATATTGACAAATAACAAAATACAACAAAAGACATTAGAGTTACATACATTCCACGAACAGGCGAGTAAATTGTGAATTGCTCCAGCCGAAGCCTCGAGTGTGATCGGATTGGTTGACCGCTTCAAAACCTCAATATACAAATCAACTGTCTCAGGGACCCACAATAGCTCTACACCAAGCGGGGGACCACTCCTCTGTGGCCGCAAGTATCTTTTCTGCTCAACTGGTGCAACAGGGGTCGGGTCCTCCTGTGCCTTTTTACGGTATTTCCGGCTCAACCTGGTGGGTTTCTTTTTCATAAATAAGCAGCCACTTCCAACAGCATCGCCAGGGATGCGCCCCTCGCCTCCTTTTGAAGGCGAGTCAGACTTATCAGAAACGGCAGTAGGAGCATCTACTTTGTCTTCGACCTTGATGGCGTCAGCATGAGCTTCGCGGTCGATTTCTTGATCAATTTTATACGAAAGATTTCGAAGGGTGCAAATGATGTTTTCTATAACCTGGAAAAAGAAATAAAAAAATGACGGACATGTAAACTTAATATAAATGTGTCTATATCGGATAAAACTCTTTGTCAACTTATTCTCTTAACGAGGAATATTGACTTTATAGCCTTATAAATGTTTTCTGAGGGGTAACAAATCTCAAACCCTCGAATCAAACATGTCTACCGCCTTCTTGAAAATGTTCCTATAATGTAAAAAAATTTGGGGCATCAATGAACAGACGGTCTCTAATGAGTAGCATGGGCGAATTCTACAATAAGGGTTCATATTTAGGGCAATTTTGAACACGGATAACCAACCAGTGATTTTCAGGGACAAGCAGCGTACCTTATTATTAATATCGCTTTTGTTGTTTGATGCCAGTGCGGCACGCAACATCCAGATCAATGAATCAACTAGGCCCTCTTGACGACGTAACTGTTGCCTCGCTTCCATACCAGCTGCTGATGTGTTGCGCAGAACACCGACAGCGTTGCGCAGAACAGTCGACCACATGACCGTTGTTGGAAGCTTTCCTTCCAGGTACAGCGACCGCTCCCAGCCTGATAATGGAATGACGAGCAGGACAGACACAGCTTTTACTGATTCCTCGAGAAGCTCCGCTCTGCAATGCTGTCAAAAATGGATTTGAATATGTAACAATCAGAATCAGGAATTAAAGGACCGCTAGTTAGTAAGGAGCTGTCTAGTTTCCATACTGCTCGACCTGATGACGTAATTAGTTAACCCTAAACCTGAACCTAACCCTTTACTTGAAATAATTAATCATACTAATTTATGACTATTAATCATGCTTAATTATGACTATCAGGTCGAGCAGTATGGAAATTAGACAATTCCAGTTAGTAAATGCGTAAGTCATTGATAGTTTTAGCCATGTCATCGTAAGGTGACAGGCGAAAAGCGACCCCTGAAGTCTTGGCCAGCGCTAATACAAATATGCGCTGACAAAAACAAAAATAGTTCTAATACTTCCCAGGCTTTTTAATAACATAGTTTTGATAATAATCCTAAGCAAAAGCAAAATAGATGAGTACTGATGCCTTTGCGGGAGAGAAAATTTGCGAGATGTGTATCACTATCAAAGATTCAACAGTAAAAAACAAATAATCAATATAACATACCACTGCGGAGGAGAGGTTGTACAATATTCCTGTTACATATTCATGAACTTCGAGGCTGTTTGATGCGTAGAGGAGCTTCACGCAAGCAGATATACCACCGCATTCTTGGATGGCGGCCTAAACAGAAGAAGGAGAGGGGTCATCGAAATATTCAAATCAAATGGAAATCGCATCATAAATAACTTTCAGAAATGCAGCTCATCTGGTAGTACTGAGAAAATTGAAAAAGGTCAAGAAAAAAGAAAATACCGACAAAATATTCGCATTGGATGTATTATACCAAGCGAAAGAGCTGATTTCGAACAAATTTTGGTGAAAATGATATCTGTTGAAAAAATTCCACAAATGATTGCATAATACTACTTGAAAAGAATTGCAGAACTTGATACAACAGTGACTATGTTTAAATGTCTATATCCAATGACTGTTTTTTAAATACAATCACTTTTCGTATAGGCTTATTTATCAGACTGACCGCTTTACGAGGCTTCTTTAAAAACTCATTGCTAACAATGAGCCATTGCGCTACGCAAGCATCCCATAATGCATTTTAGACAGTCTGGAATCAATTTTGGTTAATCCGTAGAAGTTTACTGCCATTGCTTGGATCGTCGCCACGCTCGCAAAGGCCCATTGTTAGCAATGAGTCTTTAAAAAAAAGCAGTTTCCACTTAATAATAGCAAAGCGCGAATGCCTGTGAGCTCACCAAATAACTTCGGGCTCATTGTTCCGGTAGAACAATGTAAGATACCCTTAATACCAAAGGAAAAAGGGAAACAAAAAGTGTACCATGTATTTCGAAGGGGAAGTAAATAATTTACCTTGTTATCGTCAAGATATTTTCCATAGGACAGGTTTCTCAAAGCACCAGCCGCGCATCTGTGGCAATCTTCATTTGGGTGTGACAATAGTTTCACGAGTAGGGGAATTATATCGAGTTCTCTGTTGGTGTAAACATAATAAGAGTATAAGAGATATATTACCAGTCCCGGGGACAAGAAAGCGAAAATTTTGGATGAAGTGAGCTGGGAGTATACTGCTTATAATCATCAGTTAATTATAACATTAAACTCTTTGTTTTCTATTCATTATGAATTCTAAAGAGACTTTTAACAATAAGGTACTGGAGAATACAAAAATGGGTTCAACTTCATTTTTCGTAGTTCAAGGATCCGGCTCGAGTGAATTCTATTCAGTATGCATAAAACAGAACAAATTAATGGCGCACCGAATTTTGATTTTGATGTTGTCATCTTTGTAACACAGATGCTGAATGTACCCAGCTGCATTGGCTAGTAGGTGGGTGTCTTCCGTTTTCAGGAACATTGACAAATCCAAGAGGTCTATTTCGTACTCATGTCTTGCTTTTTTCTCTGAAGAAGAAGAGAAAGTCAGGATAAAAACACTCCGAAGCTATAAACTGTCGATGTGTGATTTTAACTGCTATAATTTCAAGACGAATGCAGATGGGAAGTGTGTTAATGCATCAGGGTGATTTAAGGTGGTTCGAATAATACTGTTCTCAATTCTCAGCAGGTAGATGCGAAAAGGGAGAAAAAAGAAAATGGCATAATAATGGAGAAGAAAGGGAAGAATGACGAGACAGCAAAAACCACTTCTCAGATACAGAATGACCATTGAAAAGCACTAAAACACATCTTTAGCATGAAAATTAAAGAAAGGTTTTCTCACCATCTTCATCATAACTTGCGTTGACGACAGAGGCAACTGCCGCACTTTCTGCTTGGAATGCACCCTCGCCCACGGAACTCTCGACCTGTGATGTCGATTTTGTTGTAACTGTCTCTTCCACGACATAGCCAGCGTTGCTAGACGCAGAGGATGTTGCCCTTGTGCCATAGGCTGGTGGGCGATCAGCTGGAGGCTTGGAGCCGGTTGAGCGAGCAGAACTGCCTCTGGAGAGAGATCGGACCATGACCTCCTCTGTAACGCTACCCTCACCACGAACGCTACCTTCGCCTCTTACACTTCCTTCGCCTCTTGCACTTCCTTCGCCCCGAACACTGCCTTCGCGAATGCTACTTTCTCTGGTAAAGCTCTCATGAACGCTTCCCTCTCGACTGTAGGCTGAAGCATCAGTGTGATCACCTACAACGAATCAGATACATTAAGACTGCAGATAAATTAACCAGTGTCTAATGACTGAATAAATAGGTGCTGGATACATAGTCAACCGCAATTAAATGGGGGAAGAGGAATTGTAACAAAAGAAGTGGGCTCTGAAGCAAATTGCCCCCAAACAATAGCGAGAACATACGCATAGCCTAACAAATGAATCTGTGTTAATGCTACATTCTGCTTTAACTAATGCCAGACGTTTGCACAATCCCTTTAATGCACTATCGATGTGTCCCTCGAATGGAAAAGCAAAGTTAATGGCACACTAAAATGAAAGATGTCTTCAAAAGAGGTGTTACTGAGGGTATTTCAGTCAACTTATTACACAAACTTCTTGCTTTTAGAAATAGCCGATTCGAATGCGCATTATTCTAGAAAAACATTTCTTAGTTCGGAGCAAACAATATAAATGATATGAAATCTAGTGCAAAGGCTCTTTGTCGTTACTTCTACCCGAAAATACTTCTCAAAATCCTGCTATAACATATTCTCCCTGTGTTGTACAATACTACCTGATACAAAGTCTGAATACTCAGGCGCATTCTTCCAAGACTCGTCCTGCCGCGTTGGCGAACGTGCTCCGGTATACCCTATTTCTTTGTTGACGAGCACTTTATTTTCCGTCGAATTCTCACTTAATGTTTGCCTAAAACCGTGGTTTTCATTAATGTGCATTTTTCCGCCAGTATATGCCACGTTTCCAGCATGATAATGCTCTCTTATCTCACGCTCTTCGTAAAAATTGCCATTTTCTTGGCGAAGATCACGTCTTGCTATTAAATGCTCCTCCCTCTTGGCAACGTCATACTGGCGCCTGATCTGTTCCTTTTTCCTCCTCAGTGACTCGTACATTAGTTGCTCGTCACTAAACTGCTTGAGTTGCTCCTTAGTTTCAATCTTGCTATCGTGATAACGGACTGTTCCATTCCTTTCACTTTCAATCTCTTCAACAACACGCGCCATTGGTTGCCTTTGCACGTATGGCCTCGCAGGGTCATGCATATCATTTCCTTGGACAGTCTTCGACTTCTCAGTTCTTCGCACGGTCACCTCCTCTGCAATGGCTTCATCCCTCGATCCAATCCCGGTATGCGTCATGGCCCGTTCTCGTCTAGAGGGACCGTTCAGCAATGCCTCATCCGCAGACATGGACCTCGTCTTAAATGAACCTTCCCTTGAACGAGCAGAGCTTAGACTATCTTGATTAACAAGGTTTCTTTTTCTGCGCTTAAGTGAGTCATAAAGAAATACTTCCTCGGCTGATAAATCCTGGCTAGACATTCTGTTGTAGAATTTGAAGCCTTCTCGCTGGCGTTTTAAAGACTCAACAGAAAAGACACTATCACTAGATATAGGTTCTTTATAAACACTCCTTTCGCTTTCATGCCGTATGCTAGTGATGGGGTAGAGATCGTCGCTAGAAAATTCACTATAAACTGGGCTGCTGAGTAAGCTGGAACCTGCACTGTTTCTTTCTGCAAAACTAAATTCACAAGATCGCTGTTTACTCAACGATCTTCGTTTTCGTGTAGTTTTTTTTCGACTTGACCAGACTCTATTTGAAATTTTGCGAGATTTCTTTTTCTTTCCCCACACAAGTAAAAGAGTGACCATTCCATTCCAGTTCGAAAGGCGCCATTTTGTTGAAAATCCCGATGATGATAGCAGTTGGAGAAGTCGAAAGGCCTCAGTTGAGACGCTGGAGCCAGTGGCTAGGCCTTGATTTTTGGCCATTTGTCAACTTGATCTTCCATTCGTCTTTTCTATCGTGGCACAATCTGATGCAAAGTGTCACAAAACAACCCAAGCAGCACAGCTGCGTGCAACTGCCACCGATGACGGCCTTGGTTTTAATGTGCCAAACAACAGGGCGCGAATTCGAACAAAAAGTAACGAACATTAAAATTAAAACGATGTCGACACTAATCGTGTCTGCATACATTGAAATCCATGACTTACAGCCTTAGCATTTGGATCAGCATGGATCGGTCATACTTTATTTACTTAGGCCGAAGAAAGAAAAATGGTGGGTCGGAGATCAGTAGTTGACTCCCAATTCTTATCCGACAGCTGATTTGACACTCTTACTGCCTGTCTCATAAACATATTCCAAAAAATCTTTTCAAAAAACATTTCATCTCATTGTCGAGGTTTTTATGTGAAAAAATTGAACAATACTGCAACTGCAGGTTTAGTTTCAACGCGAAATCTTAAACTTCAAAATTCAATAAGAAATTCCAACTCGCCATAAAAGTAGCAGCTCCGAAATAGGGGCTGACACTTGGTCAAATATTAGGGGGGCAAGCCTATTGTTTTAATAAGATGTTGACACATTTCCACATTGTTCTAGAACAAAAGAGCATTGTCCTCCAAAGCATTGAAGAGCAACCGTCCCCCTCACCCCAGGTGTCCCCCATTGCTCCAAAATCTATTGTTTTTAAATATTTCGCATTAAAATTGAGTGATGTTTGTATTGCTTGAACAGATTTCAGACTGTCATATTACAGGGACGCATTTTTGCAATGAAATTCGCAGAATAAAAACATGCTCGGATTACACGAGATTGTAAAGCCAAATAGGCGTTTAACTCTTGAAAACTGTCGTGGTCAGGTGATCATTTTGTGATAGGTTTTATTTTCAGAATCCAATTTTTTTCTGAGATTTATTGTACATAACTGCTTATGATTGGTTGATTATTAATTTGATGCTTTTGTCATATTCAATTACATTCATCTGATTGCTTACTCATTAATCTCTAATTATTGTTGAAATTTGCCTTAACCTAAACAGCAAATCACTCATATTACTTAGGATTCTAGACTTTAAGCTTCGAACGTTAGCTATGGGAAGACATCGTTCGAATTGTATTGGCATGGCCTAAGACTAATATCAAATCTAATATCTTCCAGGGAGTGGGCTCATGCTCAAGGCAACAACTGCAGCCGCATCTGGTCGTCAACTTAGCCAAGTCCGGTCCACTAAAGTCAACTGAAAAAAAAGATCGGCAAACTCGGACCATGAAATGTCAAGGCATCGCAATGACGAAATTAAACAGTCCTTAAACCGAAAGACGTCTAAATATGTGTCTGGTCAATGTTTTGTTCCTTCCTATTATTAATATTGGCAGTAGATGTGTGCAAGATAAAATAGTAGAACTTATAAAAAATAAGTTCCATTATTGGATGTATGTGTGCAAATGTTAACTTCATTAGATCGACGGCATTTACCCTCCTTTTTTTTAAGAATACTATAAAATTTTTCAACCTCGATATTCTTAAGAAATTTCGTTTTGAGCCTGAATACATTCTTAAAGTATTCTTATTTTTTTCATCTGATATGGTCTTAGGGGAGCATTGCCCGCTCTTGAAAAAACACGCTTTTTGAAAAGCCATATATGTCAGTTTTACGATTCCCGGTTGTGAATATCACTAAACAGGCAGCTGCTGACAAATTAGACACAAAAATGCGAGCGGGCAGAGGCTGAGCAGTATTCTTAAAATATTTTAAAAACTTGGATGATTCTGAGCCTGAATTTTCTTACAAACAATACACTCTTTTTTTATAAGAACAATTTTATAAGAACACGAGCCTCAAAACTGGTCAAAATTTAAGAACAAATTAAGAACAAGCTGAGGCTGAGCTTCTGCAAAATGCAACTTTGAACAACGTTTTTTCTCAAAATCGAGGATTTTTAGCGATGTGTGGGTGCTTTTTCGGTGAATATTCAAATTTTTCAGCAAATTAATGCTGTCTCACTCACTTTGTTGGCAAATGAGGCCTGAACACCTCCCCAGAACGAAAAGGTAGCAATCGCACTGCTTACACCCTCTTAATTTAAGAAAAAATCAAGCACAATCCAGCCTCAGATTTTCGAAAAAATTAAGAACAGTCAGCCTGAACTTAAACTTACTGGTTCTTATAAAAAAGAGTGTATTCTTATAAAGAAAAGGTGTGGACATTTTTACGGTAAAAAACAGGCTACTGAAAACAGTTTGATTGCGCCTTGAATCTAGATGATGCTTTCTGACTTATAGAAAGCTGTTGCAAAACAGATTGGACTATGACTCCAAGAAAGTTGTTCTAACTACTTTGCGTGACAAGGAAGTAATATTGCAAAAGCAAAATGAACAACAGGTGCCAATTACTAGGGTAAACATGATTTAATTATATACATAATCAAATTAAACTCAGATCACACAATGCTACACAGACGACAGAACCACGGCAAAAAGGAAGTTTCTATGTGATTTGAATGTATCGACATTTTGGCAGTGGCAAAAGATGACTGGTTGTCGTCAGGAACAAGAAGAAAGAAAAAAGAGTATTATTTTAACATCAAACGGTATAGCTTCAATCAGGCAACAAGATTTTGACCTGAGAAAGCATTTAGAATGGATCGAAACGTTTCGTTATAATGCAGAAGGCAAAATAGGGCTATTTTTTGGATTCAAAAAGAGAATACACTTGGTTGGGTCACTAATTAGCCCTGTACAATTTTGAAAATGGCCTAATTTACGACCCGACAACATACAACCATCGACACAGACTAATTTCAACATGAAGACTCCAATTCCATGATCCATTTTTGACAAATATGGCGATAAAAGATGATGCTAACAAGGAACAAGATAAAAGTTTTAAAGAGGACCGATGAATCCTAGGTTTTTCCGTCACAGCAGAGCACAATTAACAAAAAGAAAGAGATTTGCTCTCACCTCTAGTTGACTGGGTGACTGATGTTCTACTTTCATCAATCAAGTATCCGTTCGGACTCCTCGGTGCTTTCGCGTCTTGTTCGTAGGTATAGTCCGTTGAAGTGTCGTGCTCCGAGCGGTTCGATGTCCTGCTGGTTGATGTTGTTGTAGTGCGGGTCGTTCTCTGCATACTCTCCTGCATTTCTCTAGGACCAATTGTCACCTCGACAACAGGCTCGTCATTTTCCATCACGTGGGTTGTTGTTGACACCACCTTTCTCACTCTTGTGATAGATCCTGCGAAATGATAAACAACATCAAAGGATCTTGCAAAGTTGCCGACGTCTACTTGGAAAGGAATGACATGACGAAAAACAAAGCACGAGGAAAATTTTCCCGTTTTACCAATTTTGGTACCACAGGAGCCAGGTATAAGACGGTAATGTATATGAGTAATCGATTTGCTAATTCTGGAACATAGCATAACTAGTCATACAAATTTCGCAAGAGAATGAGCTCTAGATCAAGGTTTCAAACCTCGTATACATTTTGCTAAAAGTGGGGATAAATTGTTCTGTGTGAATGAAGAAAAGGCCACTGTAGCAGGCTGCTCGACGGGCTCCAAGGAGTTCTTGCGGCGAAAAGTCGATAAAAATGTAGCAAATATGAAACACCGCAATACGCCGAGAATAAACAACAATAAAAACACGTAAATCAGTAAAGGCTAATCAGGGGCGGCTGGGAGTAAATTTTTTTTGGTATTACTTTTTCAAACGTATGGAAAATGCATGAAAAAGGAAAATTAACAATTTCTTTATGAAGGAATTTTGAACCTCCTCAGCTGGAGGGGTATAGGGGCTTTGCAACACCCCCCCCCAATTTGACCCAGCCATACGTTGGGGGAAATATGCATATCTTCAATTGACTCTAAACAACAAACAAAAAGTCACTAAAAGACATAAATTGGTTGGGTATACACATTTTTGTAAGCAACTAAGAATCTGAGCGAATGCTGAAAGTTTTAAGTTAATTGCCAATTTTAGTGCTGTATCTCCTAGAAAATAAATGCAGATACTTCCTTGCTAGCATGTCAAAAAGAAATCTTTGAAGAGCCTGATTTCCTGTTGGTCTTTTTAAACAAACTGGAGGGCTGTAACATTTGTCTGAAGGGCTTTCGAGTGGTGATTAGTCGTGAAAAATATTTGGCGGCCCCTTCCTCTGAGCCACCATGTGGGCCCGTTATTAGAATCGCGATTGTAATAACGGAAACCACTGCGTGAAAGCCCTCTGAACACATTCAAGGTTCAGTTCAGTTCATCATTCATTTTAAATGCCTTTACATAAGCAACTTGCAACATTTTGAATAGCTACAGTTTACAAATGTACAAATAAAATTTGAAAGGATGCAGGCTAAAAATTTATTATAGAAAAATACATGACGAGATATATCTGGCACGGTCTTTCAGTTCGAGACGTTGCTAGTGAGTTAATTCCACCTGTTTCAAAATAATTAGAGATACAAAATAATAACACTTTGAACACCCAGACGATGGTCATTCACTTGATCTTTCACAACACGATTCATTTTGAAACAACTAACTTACAAGCAAAATCATAAAACAGCACTGGCAAAAGGTAAATGGCCGCGTTATTAGAATCCCAGAAGTAATAACGGGGCTGCTAGGCTCCTTTATTTCAAGGACCAAGAACAATTGAATTTTACGTCATCGGTGAGTCCCGTGACAAAGACTTTGCTGTTTCCGTTATTAGAAACGCGAAAGTAATAATGAGACCGGGAGCCTCGAACTAGCTTTGAACCTTTGAAATACCATTGAAAAACATAATAGGCTTCCTGTGGTTAAGGATTAGCAGGTAATTATCATCCCCTTCAGATGAATAGAGGACAGATACCATATTATTTCTACGTCATTGGTTGTGTCTAGCAGATGAATGCACCAAACTGATAAAGACTTTGGAAAAAGTGTTATTACAGTAATAACGGTAATAACACTGCCCGCCGCCCCTGAGGCTAATATTTCGCCCTGGCATACGGGGCTTCATCAGAGCAAAAGTGTTCTGCTTGTTTTCATTAAAAGCAACAAATCAATAACAAAAATTTTTACAAAAGAGAATAATGTATCTGCTATGCAAACCCCGACTCAATTCTGCCAACTATCCCCCAATACTACATTTAGACTGGACTATTGGCGCCCAACACAAAAAGATTCGTCATAAAGCAAAATCAAATAAGCGATTTCACAGTTTTTGCCGCCATTATGAATTGGCAAAAATGGCGGACACGCAGCAAACGAGCAAATTACCGCAGAATTTCCAGTCAATTTTGTAGCTAGAATTGCTGATAAAATTAGGCAGCAATCAGCTAAATTAGAATTTAAATGTTCCTATTTTACAATAAGCAACTCACAAACAGCATTCCTTGTTGTTTTCCTTGTGATTTCACTGCTGACTTTGACCAGGCTGAAATCAGTCCCCTTTGACCTCTCGTACAAAAACTTCCGCTTTTCGATTCAAACCTTGGTGAAACTCGTTATTTCTAGCCTGTTTACAACCATCTTGAGTTGGACTCTCTTCATAAATTCACTTGACGTCAATAAAACCTGTACGAGACATCAAAACATCGTGACCAATTCTATGATCGTGACGCATGTAATGTAATGGAGGATTCCCCTGTATGGCATCCCAGCAGATATGCCTCTCATGCTATACAGGGGAATCCTCCGTCAATAACATGCGTCACGATCATAGAAGTGGTCACGATGTTTTGATGTCTTTTACAGGTTTTATTGACGTCAAATGAATTTCTGAAGAGAGTCCAACTCAAGATGGTTGTAAACAGGCTAGAAATAACGAGTTTCACCAAGGTTTGAATCGAAAAGCGGAAGTTTTTGTACGAGAGGTCAAAGGGGACTGATTTCAGCCTGGTCAAAGTCAGCAGTGAAATCACAAGGAAAACAACAAGGAATGCTGTTTGTGAGTTGCTTATTGTAAAAAAGGAACATTTAAATTCTAATTTAGCTGATTACTGCCTAATTTTATCAGCAATTCTAGCTACAAAATTGACTGGAAATTCTGCGGTAATTTGCTCGTTTGCTGCGTGTCCGCCATTTTTGCCAATTCATAATGGCGGCAAAAACTGTGAAATCGCTTATTGCCAGACAATCGATGAGAGGTTGAGCCTCTTGTAACAGGAACAATCATATACCGTAAAAGCTCTATTAAGCCCCCCTCTCTTTCAAGCCCCCTCTCTATTAACCTTCCCCTCACTTGTCAAGCAAAATTTTAAAATTAGCCCCCTCTCTATTAAGTTCCCCCTTGTCAAGCAAAAAATTAAAATAGGCCCCCTTTCTAAGTATTAAGCCCCCTCTTTATCACCCTATGTCAAACAAAGAAAACACGCGCATTGAGTTGGTCTCCATGATGTCAATCACGACCATTAACCACATTATATTAATCGATAGGCTGTAAATAAGCCCCCTCTCTGATGACTTGGGTAATGACAGGGTAACGATGACTTTAATGAGAAAAAGGAAGATGTGTTATTCCCAAACGCTCTACCAATTTGACAAAGAAACGTTGATGATGACGGCAAACTTACCATCAGGGTTCCTCCTTTCTTCTTCCAAAACATCTGGGGTCGAAGTTCCAACCGGCCGGTAGTCTCTCGGCAATGTCGAGTGTCCGGGTCCGGTTGGTTTTGGTAGTTCAACCCGGGCCACCTCTCTTGGTAGCGTGCTTGATGATGCGGAGGAGTAATGACGTGTAACTTTGGAAGAGCTGATGTAACCCCTGGGTCCGAGCTCTTCTTCATCGTACTCTGGATTATCCGACGAAGATCGCACGATATACTGCTTGGTTATCGTTGTCGGTTCTTCTTGCACAGTAGTGGTACGTGTTGTGTACGTCGTGACGAGTGCGCCATCGGGTGCGACAGTAGTAACGACAGTTGAGTGTGATGTCGTGTACGGGTCCGCGCGTCCACTTCTGTATGACAGAGAACTCGCGTTTGATGGCGTCCTCACCAATCTTTCATCTGCAGACAAAACGGCACGAGCGTGGTAAAACTGAGAACTGTGCAATAAATCTTAAGCGCATATGTCAACAAAATATTTTATTAAGATTAAGACTAGGATATTTCCCTATCCATTCAAGGCCCTGACTGAGTGGACAGGGTAAAAGACCTGAATTTAAGATTTATTATATATCATTAAGATACATAAGAAATTTAACAAAAGTGTTGTCAAAGATGTGATAGTTTCTGGAAGGGACTGCATAGTGTGTCAGTATGTTGTACAAAACAATTTACTTGTGTGGTTTCGAAAATAGTTACCTATGCCAGTCATAGTTAATTTTGTTCCTGGACTTCCAAAGGTATCTCTATCCTATT